AAGAGGTGGTCCCAAAGGGCGTGGTCTCTGACACCCCTTTTGTCGCCCCACTTATCCCAGGCTGGAGCCACCACTGCTTCTAATTATGTAGAACAAGTAAAATATGTCAAATATCGGGCGAAATATGGCCAATGAATGATTTGAGGATGACTGTTATTTTTGGCTATGTTCACAAAGATATAAACACAAACAAATTAAATGTTTTGATGGGGAAAAAGCCTGTGCTTTTGTGGCCTTATCTCAGCCAATTTGAAACAAATTTGTCTGATTTTGCAAATTTAGTGGAATTTTATGAAGCTCTTTCAGATAATGGGATCCAAAGTCAAAAATGTTAAAGGTAGATTATTGTGACGTCATCATCCAAGTACTCCGAGTTTCGTGTTTTTCCGGTTTGTTGATCATAGTTCCATTTTTGTCGCCAAATCGTCCTCAAATTTCAACTTTTGCGTTTGGTAGAACACATTGAACTTTTTTCCTCAAAATAAACTTAGTCGGATGAGCCCTATTGTCTCAAGAGGAAAAGGAACTCCACCTACTTTATTTACAATTTTCAAATAATTTAGGGAGGGTAGCCTTCAGGAAATGCTGGTTTACAAGGGACCCTCCATTTAATTTATGATATTACAATTAAAAACAAAGTTAATTCATGATATTGTCTAAAAGACGAAGAAAGTTACTTTACAATATATTTATAAAGTTAAATAATTTTCATTTGATCGTTGTTTTAGGCAGTTGAAAATCTGTATTGTGAAAAGACCCCAAATGACTTCTAGATTTTCTATAAATACGTCCGATAGATATTATAGCGCTAGTCCATAGTGAACCAAAGTGATCATTTCTGCATTGTTAAAATCTTGAAGTGGCTTAAGTCCAAGAGTATCTAACAGTGGACTACCATCAGCATCAAAGCGGCTATTTGTAATAACTCTTGCTGCTCGATTTTGAAGGTTTTGAAAATGGCTCTTTTCGATTGCACCACAGTTTCCCCAAACCGAGCAACAGTATCTTAAGTAGGGACCAACAATATCAGTATAAAATGTCTTCAAAGTGTCTCGAGTTAGCAAATTTTTGGCCTATTTTAGAAAGCCAATTGCTCTAATGATGTTTGTTGACAGAGATTTGATGTGACCTTTTCAGTTAGGGTTGTTGTCTAATGTATTCCAAGATATTTGGCAGTTTGGACAGTATCTTTTCGTTCTTTTTGTAAAGATAATGCATTATCATTATTCAGGCTGTTTTTCTTTTAGTTTCGTTGAGATAGTCATTGCTTTTGTTTTAACAACTTTAAGGGACAATTTATTGCCCTTCAACTATTCAAAGACGCTAATAGGGTCCATATTCATTGCCGAATTCAGCTGATTAACGACATCAGATTGATAGGAGAGACTAGTATCATTAGCGTACAAAGCTACCATGTGGTTTTCGACAGCTAGCGGTAGGTAGGTAATATAGAGAAGAAATAGCAGTTGCCCTAAATATGACACCTGTTGCACACTAATATCAATGCCCATTAGTTCAGATAAAAATCTATTTATACTGCAGTACAGTTTGGGATTTGAATGGTACGACTTGAACCATGATAACTCATTTTCTTGGAGACCATAGTGCTCAAATTTTGACATAGAATATTATAATCCACAGTTTCAAATTCCTTTCTATGGTCGATCAGTACCAAGCCAACAACCTGTACAAGGTACAAACCGCTGTACCATACATCGATGTTTTTAACAGACAGCTTAGGGTAAAGTGCAAGGCACGAAAATCAGATAGTGCATTTGGAAGTAGGTTATTTGAGTTCAAATATTGGTACAACTGGTTATATACAGTTCTTTTGAAGAACCTAGAAAATGACTGGCATAACAAGTATTGGACGGTAATATGATTTTTTACTTTTATCACCGCCTTTGTAAATGGGTGCAACCCTAGCAATTTTCCATAATTTGGGCAAAATGCTCGTTTCAAAGGATGTATAGAAAAGTATAGCCACGGAATTTTCCAAGAATGGCAAGGCAAGTTTTATAAAAGAAACTTGCAATAGTGTCTGTTCCAAAACTCTTTGAATTGACAGTTTTTCTAGTCGTTGGAAGAATATGTCATACCAGCAATGTAGAAGGCAGTTATCGTATCCTTTTTAGGCGTAGTCAGTAGCATATTTCTGCAGTCCGTCAGTAGCTAAGTTCATCAATCCAGTCGCTCCCATTTTAACACAAGTGGCAGATCAATCTTCTCTTCTAGGTATCTTATGTTATTTTTCAGCAGCTTTTTTAGAAAGATGCAGCATGACAAACGTCTCTGCAAAGAACTTCATGTATGTCTTGAGTAGAAAAACTCTAATCAAACGTTACATTGTCTTGCCATAATTTCCCTCGACACCAAAATTTTATCTTTCATAGTTTGTCCAAAGAAAAAAAAGAGCAATTTTGTTGCTGATTTCATGTCGATTTTGCCACATACACTACTTGCAAAATCGCTGAAAAGGAGTGAACGGAAACTTTCCTCTGCTTTGAATTCAGACAGAACTTTCTTTGCTTTGAATCTCCCTATCTCTGCCAGATGTCTCTGTTTATGTGCTAGATTGAAAGAAAGAATCTTTCTTTCACAGCATATCTGTAGCGAATTCCGCCTTGGAATTTTTTTAACCATAAATGACCAATTCTAACAATGACTTTTTTAAATTTCAGATGTATTTGTAGATATGTTTATCTCATATCAAAATTTATCCGACAAATGACGTAATCGGCTGCTGCATCTCTCTCAACCACGTTGAGACTCCACCGTAAAACCCAGTTACGTTTAGGGAATTTTCCATTTTTCCGGATCGATTTCTTCTCGTCCAGGGGCTCGTTTACTTTAAAGGCGCACCGCTAATATTTTCTTCTCCCCAGAATTAATAAAAATACTTCAGCATATCGGCTAATTTGGCCTTCGCGGTTCTTCCTGTAGGGGACACGTTAGTGGTAATGCATATCCAAAGCGCCATCAAAGTTTGTTCTTACTGGCTCCAACAACCAGCACAACATTACCTAATTCAAAATTATTTTCCCTTCAAGACATAATGGCGCTCTCTTAACACCCTTGATGACTTTGTAAGACATTTTCTCCACACCCCTTCTTGTAACTGGTCTTATCCTTTTTCCATTTTCTTCATGTGGCACTTTTTCTGTTTGTCACTCTTTAAGGTTTTTTAGATTTCCATTATTTTAGACCGCATTAAGAATTTTATTTTCCTCTGTTGCTACTTACATCTGCTGTTATTTTCCTTTTTCATCTCTCTATACCTGTTATTTTCCATTCACATCCGGACTCACATCACTCCACATCTCTACACACCCGGGTTTTTTCCTTTCTCTTTCTTCTACCATCCCAGTTGCATATATTAAATGCAGTTGTTCTTGGCACCTTAACATTTTGCAGACCATTTAGTCATTTGTCAAATTCTTTCTTAACGCTGGGTTAACTTCAATAACCCCTCCTCTTTTTTAATCTGTATTTACTAAAATTGGGATCATGAATTGAAGATAATGCTTTCAGATTTGACCTCTTGGTAACAACTAAATATTTTCTAAGTTCCAACGCTACAATATAAATGATTTCTTTTTTGTATCATCCAATCTCTAAAAATTCTGTCTTTACTTTTCATTATCATCATTCAGATGTTTTGAATTACACTCCCATTTCCCCAGTGAACATTTTTTTGGCTAATATCTCAGTAGCCTTTTTCTTAAATTTTTTACCTTTTCTTCATTTACTACCAATGCATTACATGGCCTTAGCTGTATTTTCATCGAGTGTTTTTTTAACACCGTCGTCTTCTTCTGCCTTTCGCAATCAAATTGATATGCAAATGATCTTGCTATTTGCATTGGGTTGCTTACTTTTACCAAACGTCATGCTTGTATCGCAACGCGCACAATTCAACTGCTAATCGACTGCTTACTTGATTGCTATCTTGCTTGCTTACTTATATACTTACTCACTTTTACTTACTTACTTACTTACTTACTTACTTACTTACTTACTTACTTACTTACTTACTTACTTACTTGCTTGCTTTCTTGCTTATTTACTTACTTACTTACTTACTTACTTACTTACTTGCTTGCTTGCTTGCTTTCTTGCTTTCTTGCTTGCTTGCTTGCTTACTTACTTACTTACTTACTTACTTACTTACTTACTTACTTACTTACTTACTTACTTAAAAAATCGGGCTTAACCCGACTAAAATCGCCTGCTTTGTCATTAAACTTGAGAAGCAAGCTGTTTGATGAAACTGAAAGTTGTAACAGCCATAACGATTTGTTTTTAGATTTTACTCAGTTTTGCATGCTCTTTCCGAAGGTATCATCAAATTTTGAAAATTTGCGGTTCACATTTTGCTGACCGTGAGCTTTTCAAGCTTCCAGTAACTTTACTTTCGGTCATTTGCCAGAATGGTCTCAAAGTTTAAAATTATCATTGCATTTTACTTTTATGATTTAAGCTTGTAAACATTTCAGGGTTGGAAAATTCCCTGTTTATGAGTTTCATTTTGCTTTCTATCATTTTCAGTTATCCGTATTCTCTCATTTCTCTTTTCCCCCTTTCCTGGTATTTTTCCTTTTTCTCCTCTAACTTGTTCTCGTTCATCTTTTCCCATTAACTTGTTACTACTTTGCCCTTTTCATACAACTCAAAAGACTCTCCAAAGATAAAACTCAGAGAAACTATTCTTGTACCTTTTGTTCACGTTTGTACCGCACTTATTGTTTGCTCCTCGTTAAGACAACACAGAATTTCATCACTAAACGACAGATTTAGAAGTTGCTCCTCTGGTATCATTATCAAACCAAACACCTGATACCTCATCTCCTCAGTAACATATTTATAGTCAACTAAAGTGCACGCTTTTAGATTCAAATTTTGTATCCGATTAAGTTTCAATACGTCACAATTTCATCACAATTCTTTTATCACTTCTTCGATCATTTTTCCAGCATCGTCCTGAAGCCCAAATTTCTTCCTCATAACCGTATAAAACTTCTTATTATTCTCCTGCCGAAGGATTTATTTACAAAAAATTTTTAGCCGTGAAATTTTTTTTAATCCGTCCGCATAGACCATTGGCCTCCACGAGCCACCATAGTTTCAATTTTTTTTACACGACTGCATAATCTAAATTTAGATTCTAAAACCATCTTCATCATTCCAGTTCATTTTCCTCTCGTATTTGTTCCTTTTCTGTTAATAAGTAAACTTAGCAAAAACAAAGACAGTAGTTGTTGTGCTTCATGTACATTTTCACTGCTCTCACGTTGTGTTGACCTGTTACAGAGACCATTTCATATATCTCTTCGGGTCCATGGCGTAATGTTGCAATATTCCCGCTGCAGTGAATTCACGTGACTGTATTTAGCAAACTTTACAATCCCATTTGGGCAGGTCCTGTTACTAACATAACTTTGAAATTCAAAAGTCTTTAAACTAAGGCCCAGTTCAAACATCGAATTTCTACTGGGTCATATTAATCTTTTCTTCAGAAAACAACTAAGTGTCAATAGTATTCGACTATAGCAAGACGTTTAAATTTAGTGCCGCATCAAATACTTAATTGTGGCAGTCAGAGTCCAGAAAAGTTGCCAGCCTTCCTCCGGCCAAGGAAATCTTACTATACCATAGTAAGCACTTACTGTTTCATCTTTGCCTCCCTGATTTTACCGGGCACGTGACAGATATTGAAGTTATACGTTTCTGCATGGGGCATCTAAAATCAATACACCATCGAATTTTATCGCAAAAGAATGTTAACTAACAAGAAATGATTGTAACATCCATTGAAACACCTATGTGTCCTGTCTAACGCATATGCGCTTCACGCCATTCACAGCTAGGCCCTGCATGCCCGCCATTACACGGTAACATTTGAAACGCATATGCGTCTCAGCCCATGCAGAAACGCATTGTACACCGGCAAATTTGCGCATAAGCCCGCGACGCAGTGACCAGCGGCAGACATGTTCCCGATCTGTTATCAACTGCAGCATTTATTTGCACCTTCGCACAACTGCCAAATAAAATTCAATTTGATTGGACAAGGCAGAAATTCGATGTTTAAACTGGGCCTAAACGGTTCGAATTCAAAAAAGTTTGTTGCTAATCTAATACTAATAAGAACTGCAAATTTCCGAATTTCCGATCTTTAAACGTCCTATTTTTGTTGGTAAGTCAACTTCTTTGAACGCAAAACGTTACGACCGAGCTGTTCTGATTCTATAAATTTCTTGTTAGAGTAAGGAAGATGCGACATTTCATAGGAAGATTCATTCATGCCGTACCCAGTCTTATCCAGTTACGCAGAACGTTGCGAGAGATTAATTTGCAAGTGCAGCAATGGCATCATCAACTTACATTTTATTTTCTTAAAAACTTATTTGCTTGGGGAAAAGACTTTATCATTAAAATGCATAAACATTAATTGTTTTCATTAATGGAATAGCCAGAACCAGTTTAGCACTACAGAGTTCCAGTGTAGGTAGGTGCGATAATTTGGTGAAAGAATCACAGAGGCACTGATGAGCAGGATATATCAAATGTTTAGCAACCATGAAATATGTTTCTTTTTGGAGCAGATGCCAAATGCTAGCCTGCAACAATGGTAGCAGCAAGGGGGTACAAGGATGCATCATGCTTGATTCTAAATTGTCCTTTGCCTCTAACATTGAGAGTCAATTATACTCATTGACTGTAGACGCGGGATAGGAATAATAAAATTTCTTTTAAACTATTTGCCCCGCAGTACTGTAACTGAACTGTGTAAATTGTATGTGCGGCCACACTTAGATTACGGTGATGTCATTTACCACATCCCACCCAAAAAATGCAATTTCAGTCAAGATACCCCACCGAATAATCATTTGGAAAAACTTGAATCAGTTAAGTATTCTGCTGCACTAGCAGTGACTGGAGCAAAAAAAGGAAGATCTCGTGAAAAAACTCTACGAGGAACTTGGTTGGGAATCCTTAAGCCTACGACGTTGAAGCAGACGCCTCGTTCTTTTTAACAAGATTGACAACGATATTACCCCTGACTACACAAGATACCCCATTCCACAATTACCAAACCTATGTACACTTTTCGTAATGCAAATGTAGTTGGGTAGATAAGGGCAAGAACGAAAAGATTCAAGACAAGCTTTTATCCCGACTGTCTCTCTGAATGGAACACACTTGACTCAGAGATTAGGTTATCACCCTCACTAAGTACCTTCAAAACACAATTATCGAGGCTTATCTGACTCACTCCTAAACTAGTATACGGTATTCATGATCCAAAAGGTCTAGCTATTCTTACTCAGCTACGGGTAGGAGCGAGCAAACTAAATTATGATAAATGATAAATTTCGGCATAACTTTAGAGATTTCGGCATAACATTCAAGCCTTTGTGTCCCGCAAACGATAGGGGTAGAGGACACAGAACATTTCCTGCTGCTCTATCATTCGTATAATGGGCCTAGATTTAATGTCAATAGTGTGAATGCAATATTGCTCCCTCGTGGTTTTGCGTCTTTTTCAAATGAAGTTTTACTCAAATGCATTTTTTATGGTGACAAGCGACTAACCATTGACTCAAATAAGAAGCTACTTCAGGCAACGCTCAAATTCATTCATGCTTCAGAACGCTTTTAAATATTCCATTGATGTACACTCCTATACATTAGCATCTACTTTTTGTCTGTTTAATCTGTATTCCTAATTAGTCTACCTAGTTTTGGTTCCTCTTCTTTCTATCTTTGTTCAAAGTTGTGCGTTTTTATGTATCGGCCATGGGTAGTCATTGTCTTTCGCTCCCTATGGTATCGTCCCCGATAGCAGTACAGTAATTGGGGTAGTATATTCGAATGTAAATTGAATTGTAATTACTTTTTGTCAATAAAAAAATCAAATTATATCGTTGACACTTAGGCCTTTGGTATCATTTGCAAGCTCAATCCTGTTGCCATTGACATTTAGCGCTACATACTTCAACATGCTGTTGGAATTGATGAGCATGGCAATTTTATGGCATTCAAAGAAACTCTGTTATCATGCAACCATTTCATTCACTGCCAACACAAGCTCCGAATTTACAACAGAACTTCATTCATGATATTATTGCAAGCATAATGAGGTTTTATTATCTTTATCGACATTTAAGGTGGTTCCTTGAATTTTACTCTAAATAACTCGAAAAAGGCTGAGACAAGATTCCCATAAAAATTCGATGTCTATTTTTCCAATGTCAGACATACAATAAATCTTCATGTATCTAAAACCATAGAAAGGCTCCCAGTTCAGGGGCCAAAGGCAATGAGCACACAAAAATACAATATTGTAAAATTTTGAAGGCCATTAGCTCACAGATGTACTCACTAATAAATCCTTTAAACTATCTAGCGTTGCTTCGCTCATCGCTGTTCGTATTTCTTCAAGGAATTTCCCAAAATGGTGCATATTGTGCCTATAAAACGAAATGAGCTTTTTTAGATTGCTTCTTTGTACTATTTTGTGGTGACACAGAAAAGTGAGGATTTTGGATCCAAATGGATTTTAGACCTGCTCCATTGCAGAGTCTAAATTTCAAAGAACGATGGTAATGTGTATACGTATACGGTTATTTATAAAATTTCAAAAAATCTCTAAACGTTTACACTGGGCATTCTTTAGAAAAAAGATTAAAATTACTACTAATAAGTTATACGCATAATTTCTATTATAGTTTTGCGGCTGCTGTGTTATTACACGGAACTAGCATAGGGCTCAAACCTTGATTGGCTGAGAGCTTGCGCAAAATAACGTGGTTTCTATCGCCGATAGGCCAATGACGGCCTCGGAAGGAGTAAACAAACTATATCCAAAGCATAAAATGGAAGGGGATGGTGGTGAAGGAATTAAGAGTGAAAAACTGTCGGGAATCTTATAGTTAGCCACGACAATAAATCACAAATCTGTTCACAGAATCTTTAATGTTTGTCACGATCACAACCATCGCAATTTTACAACTACTCAACTTAACTAATTTTAACTAACTTTTAAATCTTATTTTGTTTATTCTTTTTACTTTAACAGTACTACTGGGAAAACAGTGTAAATATGTATATATGCATATCACTACTGAAGTATTATCCTGTATAAATATTCGATAATAATAATGGAAACTTTTCGTTTTGAATTCCAGTTAAAACTACAATTACAAGTCGCACTATTACAAGGTAATTTGTAACTGGCTAGCCTGTTTTTACAAAAAAAGACTATCACAATCGTAGTAGAGAGAAAAGAAAAAAAAACGTTAAAAGGGGAGTAGCTCTGGGTTAGTCCATGTTTTGTTCCTACAGCAAAAAATGTAATAGGTGGTACGAATGGATATCGTAGAAAGCTTAGAAATGAGATATCGTTTGTGTTGATCATCGATGGAAAGAGAGTCACACATTTCAAGGAATGAGCTGCATGAGTCGCCGAAGATTCCAAGAGAGCTGATGGAGAGATTTACAAATATGACAGATTTGAACCTTGGTCTTAGATCTGAGACAAGGCGAGCATATTTTGAACGTTTCCTTTCTGCATTGCAGTTAAGGTTAGTTTCAAATCCTATCGTTAGTTCCAAAACATAAAGAATGTTTTCCTTTGTACGCAGAAGTAGATCTGGGCGCAGATTGTCTCCAGTTATGATGGATGGTGAGGAGAAGCCAGGTATATCGGCAAAAAGAGAGGATCCCTCTATTGCTTTCAAGGAGGTTGCAAGAAAATTTAGAGCAGAATTATGACGCCAGGTATAACGACCTTGTTCGAGATAAACTTTGCAGCCTGCAACGACATGGAGTAAAGTTTCGGGAAGAAGGCAGAATTCGCAATCAGATGATTGGCTTAGGTTCCAAAGGCTTAGATTTTTGCGCGTAGGGAGAGTATTGTTCAGGTACTTGATGGTGAAGTTGAAGATGTTCGTGGGTAGGTTGCTCTGCACAACAGACCAAAGACCATTGAGCTTTTTGAGAGAGTGGTCCAACAGAAATGAAATAATAGCACCCTGGGATAGTAATTGGTGTGCCAAGCGCTCTCTACTGTCTGATTTTACTGCTTTCAGTACATCTTTGGTGCTACGGTAAATGTCGTATTGCAGATTCATCCCACTACTGGTGTTTTTCCATAAAGCTTGAATGTTTGTGTTAGGAGAAGTTCGGAGGGCATTGCGTGAAACAGTTTGGCATTGAGTGAATTTGACAGAAGGTAGCTGAAGATCGAGACCAAATTCATTTTTAGAAAGGACTATACTAGTTAAAGTAGCACTTATGGGAAGATCAAGCCACTGGCGAATGTATTTAGAGACAAGATTATCGAGGTTCTCAATGACCCAGGTCTTCGATAGGTCTGCAACAGTGAAGTGCCAAGAAACTTTGGACAATACATATCTGTGGTACAATAGAAGTTTATTTTTGGGATGCAGAGGCAAGTCATCAATTTCTTTCAGAAGGCTGGGAAACATTGATAGCAGTTTTTCTTTATGACTGCCATTGGTCATTTCGAAGTCAAAGAAGCGGCCAAGGTATTTGAAGCTTCTCCATTTTTAACAACAGGCACGCTTTGGTTGTTCACGAAAAGCTTTGGCTGGAACTGAAGAGATCTTGTTGAGTATTTCTTAATGCCAAAGGTGACACATTTATCCACCCTTATTACAAAGTTTGCCCACTGACACCATCTTGTAAAGCAGTTTAACAGGAGCTGGTTCTCCTTTTCACCACTAGTAACAACCGCAGCATCATCAGCAAATTGGAACCAATGCACTGGTTGGAACATGCGGTCGTTTTCGTCGTGGGGAGAGAAGCCAAGCTGTTTAAATTTTTCTGCTTTTATGTATTGTATATACGTATTGAAGCATAGATTGAAGATAAGAGGGCTGAGGCAGTCACCTTGAAGAACACCACGACAAACGGGAATGGCAGGGGTTTGGAATGTATCTGTGAGGATAGAGGTCTTGAAGCCCGAATATAAGCTGGAGACCAGAGCCTGAATATGAGATGGTATATGATGGTACGAAAGAATATTGGGAATCAAATTATGGTGGACCTCGCCGAAAGCATTTTTGAGATCAAGCAGGGTAACAACCAAAGAGCGCTGTTTTGTGCGAGCTTTATTTATCATATGATCCATCAGTGCCGTGTGTTCTAAAGTACCTGATATCTTGGGAGTGAAGCCTTTTTGAATTTGGCTTTCAATGAAACCATTTTGTTTCAGAAAGTTGAAAACAGAGTTACGTAGGCAGGAGGTGAAGATTTTCAAGGGAACAGATTCTAAGGTTATTGGTCTCAAGTTAGAAGGATCATCTGTATTGTCTTTTTTGTGGATTAATATTGTCGATGCTTTTTTCCATTCGGATGGAACACTAATAATAAAAATAATAATAATAATAATTATAATAATTATAATCTCAACTACTTTTATACCTAAGTCTAAGAATGTTCTAGCAAACGTTGTCTTTATTGTGTATCATTTCAATACAAAGTTTCTAAAATTATTAATTGCGTCATAGCTAATTTTGGATACCCTCAGAAGGTTCATGAAGGTTCCCGAGGTACAATTACGTCAATAAAACGAATACAAGGCTACGTGTTTACAATGGGCTGAATAAGCTAATATGGAGAGCTATTCTAAGGGATTACACACGAAGCAAAAGTTCCTAGTATGTTCTGGAATGTTCCAAAGCTAAGTACACTGTTCATTAAAAATCTTGACAAAACAACAGATTAACAGGAAAACTAAAATGTTAATTATTTTTGTTCTTTCGCATTTTGCAGATCTTGTTTATCTCAACTTGATACCAAGGATTTTCGACGAAAAACGATTTTATTCATAACGATCGCTTAGGCCGACGCAACAAATTCAACAAATTCATTCTAGCATCGCTAATTAGATTTTGGACTTCCATAATGCTTTAACCTATGTGGAAACATCTTGTAACTAGTCGAGAAATGACATTATATAGCAGTACTGGTGCCGTTTCCAAACGCCCGAAGTGTCAATGTTCAAATTTTCCGGGTCATAGAATAGAAATATTGTCTAAAAAATTTGTTTAGTTCTAAAACAACTGGTTTCCATTTATTATTTGAATTTGGTAAGTAGTGTGTGTGTGACTCAGTTGGATAGGACCAAAGCTGGAAATTTGGTGGTATTTAAAAACCATTTGATTCGCGATCACAAGAGCTCCAGAAACGTTGAGCCTCGCGATCCTGGAATCAAACCACGTGTAAATATCTGTCTTTTTAATTGAAGGAAGGCATCAGCAATGGTTGCTGGGTGACTGTTGGGAACGTGCACTCGACAGTTAATTGCTGTTTATGTAAATGAGCTAATGAATTTCGTAATTACTAGCCAGTCTAGCACGCGTAGTTATTGTAGATTGATTGCTGCTCTATTGTTAGCTGCCTAAGGATAGCGTAGAAGCTTCTAGAAAGTTCTAACGATCGCTGCGATGGAGCTTTTTTATCACGTGTCGCGTAGAGTTTGTAGTCTTTCCAGTTTCGCAGAGAATAAGTCGCTAGATTCTCAAATTACAACGGTGACAGCCTTTTTCGTCGGTAGTAAACTCCTCTTCGTCGTTTTCATCACCATCATATTTTGTCATCTTTATCTCGATCAGCAACAATTTGCTCACAGTCTGGATTTAGAATGGGCACTGGTAAAGCTTTGATGGCATCAAACACCTTGTCTTCAAATGCCACAAATTCCAGGGCCAGAAGGAAGCATTATTGAATGCAAGGAGTGCCCACAACCATGGAGTTTTTTCATGAGTGTATTGTTCAACGGTTGCACACATTTAGGTAAGTTGATCTATGAATAAAAGTAGTTATGTGTAATTTTGTTCATAGGTAAAAATGTCAAAAACCTGTGAAAAATTCCTCTTTATCCACTGAAATCCAGCTTTGCCAAATATTAACTAAGGGTAAAAATTAAATGTAAAGTAGGTAATTCTATTCACAAAAATTGCTTTGCATTGATTCTAACCATAGCTTCCTATATAAATACGAAAGATGCCCTAATTTTGAAATATTGGATACATTAGGAGTATTTAATGTTCTTGGGCTGGGGCAATTGAATTAGAAAGTCTCTCAGCAGTTAGTAAGTAATTTTTCTTGAAATAGGTAATGAAATGGTAATTTATTGATATAAAGATACCTGCTTGGGTTTGGTTACAACTGCATCTTCTCCATAAAGTACGGACAGTTTCAAATACGTCATGTTTTTGGCTTTCCTAGCTGGTCGTGGCACCTGATGTACAGAGTTGGCACTTTGGACAATTTGCTTTAAAATGCTGCAAGTGAATATGGCTGCATCCAATTTCATTCTTTTCAGTCTCTTTCTGCTAAAGGTGTACTTTTTTTGGAACTTCGAATACAGATGAGAATTGTGCTGAAGTTGCTTTGCTGTTGCCAAATGCTTTGGCTTTTTGGCGCAGAAGATCACCACTGTCACTATGGCTTGATTTAGCACTCACCACGGAATGGAAATTTTCCACAGGGTACACATCAAATGAATTCAGATTTGTACGAGCGTGTTAAAAACTGGATGATCTTGCATCTTCCAATGCATTAAATTGCTCAGTCAAAGTAATAGTGCCTTATTATATTAGTTTCGTTTAAAGCAAAATAACATTGTCCAATACCCGAGAAGAGATATGACATACTGCTCTGTGTTTTGCAATACCCGAGAAAAGATGACAGAATAAATAGAAAGGACAAGAGGGAGATAATTATCTAAAAGATTTATAAGGGCTACATACTGTATGTCCTTACAGTTTGAAAAAGTTACAGTCACTTGCTCCCTAAGAGATGTCCAACCACCCAAAAGTGCCTCCTCAATTAAAGAAAATAGATTTGCTTTAGGTCTATTCGAAAGATGTTTCCTGGCACCAAAAATGATAGAATAGGCTTTTTTGATATTGAGAGGAAAAAAGATTCTCTTGCACTGAGTTGAAAGTGCGTTACCTCCACGATGTTATGTACCAGCTGGAGAAATTTCAATTTTAAGGGTTTTTGTGGAATTGTTTGAAACGCATGAATGGAGATAACGTATTTCCTCGAAAATTGGCCGACCTTCGAATATAAGCCGATTCAAAAATAAGCCGTCTAGCGACATATTTTCGAGGAAATACGGTAAGTGGAAAATGAACTGAATTTGTTGCGTCGGCATAAGCGATCGTTATTTATAAAATCGTTTTTCGTCGAAAATCCTTGGTATCAAGTTGAGATAAACAAGGTTTGCGAAATGTGAAAGAACAAATATAATTAACATTTTAGTTTTCCTGTTAATCTGTTGATTTTTACCCCAAATTCATCCATTACAATCTACTTCAATTTAAAGAAATTTCTGGTGGCTACGTTACATTTTCTAAGCAACTAAAAATCGGGGGCATATTCCACGGCAGATTTGTAGATAATTTATGTGTGTAGGGCTATGGTTAATCCAATTTGAAATATATTTCAGCAGCTTTTAAACGCTATTTTTAACAAAGGGCAGTAAAAATTCCCAATTTTTGGCTTTGGTCTAAGTTTGCATACACTTTCCGGCTTAGCAGCGAGAAAGACCACGTGACTTAGCGCAGGTTCTCAGCCAATCAAGATTTGAGCCCTAGGCTCAAAAAACGGCGGTCTTGTGTGGAAGAAGCTAAGATAAATGCGTGGAATTACTTTTCTTTAGAGATTTGTAAGTAATTCCCAATGCGCGCAAAATATTAAGACTAAATATTTAGAAAGGCTAAATATTAAGTATTATTATGATGAGGCTAAACATGGAGGATGATTATATAAAACTGAACACAAAATTGAGAAATTACATCATCATAAACATAGTTAAAGACTTGCGCGACCGGCATGCTTTGCAACTTATTTTCAAAACCGGCCTTGTATCGTATTGCATGGAAATAAAAAAAGCACATGTCGACACATGTAGAATAACAGCTACTGCAAAGCATGCCGATTGCTTAAGACCATTTAAGCGTTTCATCTGACACTCTTCAGAATATAAAACTTTTCTAAGGGTCAGCGTTAGGGTTAGGGTTAGGGTTAGGCTTAGAGTTAGGTTTAGGGTTAAGGTAATGCTAAGCTTGGAAATATGTACACCCAGTTTTGGGTCTTTCAGAAACATCAGCACATGACTGTTTGGGTTGCTCAACCACTGTTGCTTGCCAATTGAAAATATTACCAGCACAGTCCAAGGTAAAACAAAATTTTTCAAGCAACACAAAATCAATTTATTTTATATGTACATCGTTTTGAAAACTGCATCTTAAGTGCTGCCCGATTACAAAACCACAAGTTTTGGTTGCTTTTTTACCTGCAAGACCAAGGGAGCTGTTCTCCAATAAGGGACTTAATATCTTCTAATCCTAGACGGGACATAGAGTTATATTCTATCCCCCAGACTTTGAAATGTGTCAGATGAAAAGCTTTATAATGTCTTAAATATTTCCTTTTTCGAACTCATATTTGGACTTTTATCACCAAAAAATTACTCACATCATCAGTAAAACCTGAGCCAGCATTTCGTTGGTCACCAAAAGATGATTAAGGTAGGCCCTTGTGTATTTCAGGCAGGTCATGCAGTTGCAAGTACTGAGGATTGGCTTGAAATCATCTTTGTACCTTAAGCAACAATATAATAATGATTTGATATCTTACAAATTTGCAAAAATTCTATTCTCCAGCATCAATGATTAAAATAATTTTCAATTTTAAAAAGGGAGCGAAAAGTAGCAAACTGATAGAAAAATATGTGAAGAGAAAAAGATTTAAAGATACAAGTTTGATAATTGATAAATGACAAAAGTTATGAAAATATTGGCAAAACTGCAGGTTAATTTGAAAGATCTCACCTTTTCTGGCTCAGTTCTATTTCCAATGTTGACTGGGGTCCATTTTCAAGTACATTTGTAACTGGATCCTGATCAGAGTGGGTCTTCATTTTTTTAGTGCGATAAGTAAAAACTGCAGCACAACCACGTTCAGTTAGTTCATAAACATATCTGATTTGCGTCAGGGAATAATCAGCAAGAAAAGGCTAAAATCGCAACTGTCTTGTGGTAGTGGTCATGGATGAATTAACTACATATATGGGCAAAAGAAGATGCCTGGCATTAAAACAATTGTTTTTCAGATATAAAAATAAATTCAGCATACGAAGTACAGAGGCGAGGATGTCATCCAGCGATTGAATTCTTTAAAATGAATTTTAGTACAAGTTTGAGAATTTGAAGGATACGAATTATCTACAATATCAACGCCATTGAGAATAGCCTCTAATGTTCGCTCTGAAACAAAACATGCTTGAATAGAATTGGAAATTGGAAATCGAAAGCAAATAAAATTTGAAGTTTGGACAATGAAATAAACTTTACAAAGTTTGAAAAAGTTAAAAGATAAATAAATAATGCTATCAAAAATATTTGCGAATCACTGTAAAATGAAATTTTAAGAATGAAGGATTTGCAAAACAGGTTTCACTTAAACAAGCCAACACATTCATGTGCATCTCTTTGTGATGTCAACTAAATTCCAGTCCTTGCATAGCCAGGACACGATCTGAAAGGATGGACATTGATCATGCGAAATTTTGTTCAAGTTTACACCCTAATTTGAAAGAAGTGATCTTCATCAGCTTCCGAATGATTTAATCAGAAAGGAAACATATTGCGAAATGTTTGTTGAGTTACCTGGGTTAAAAGATCCTAGCATTATCTTTGGCTTATCGGGCGGCAGATACTCCTTCGAAAGAATGGCAATTAATTGAACACCAGATTGTAAACTTTGATGAAAGGCAAACTATCTAAAGAAATACTTTATAGGAAATCATCGAAAGAGGCGAAAAGTACCCTTGTGTGTCCTTTCAAATTTTAATAAAAAACAATATTTTCTTATTTTGGAGAAAAAGCTAATAACTCACCAAGGTTGTTTGCAAAATTTCGTTGAAATCATCACCAATCTTGTCGAATCCTTCCAAAACGAAACCTGAACAAGAGAAATTGCATAGTTCTTAATATACAAAAATTCCTGAAGCACCAAACGAAAACATCTCTAGATGATATCCATTCATAAACATCCATTTATGATTAAAAACAAACAAAATAAACAAATAAACAACAACAAAAAAATAAACAAATAAACAAACACACAAACAAACAAATAAACAAACAAACAAACAAATAAATAAACAAACAAACAAATAAATAAACAAACAAATAAACAAACAAATAAACAAACAAATAAATAAACAAATAAACGAATAAAGAAACAAAAAAAAACAAACAAAGAAAACATTGTTAATATTTGTTTAAGTGTATTGAGGAGTCCTGATACACTGTACGGTAAAAATCGGGAGTACCCGAGCCCAATCTCCAACAACATTTATAAAAACTGCCAAATCCATCGGGTGAAACGGTAATTCCGATTAATGAAAGCATTGGTACCCCTGATAGTCACTAAGTGAAGTCGGGCCAGCCATCCCATGTGTAAGAGGCAATTACGCTGATATCATCGCAAACCTCCAGCGTTAGATGCTGAAAATTTGTCACATGCGATCCACTTAGAAACATCAAGAATGACCTAAAAATGTCTGAACCCCAGAATACCCAAGTGGTTATTTTTCTACATTAACAGATTTTCAAACTCGCCTTCTACGCAACACTGGGTCTGACTTACAAATACCCCAAATGAAAACATCCATGGGACAAAAACCATTCGACTATTAAACAGCCAAAGTTTTGAATATTTTTTACTCAGAAACAAAATTGACACCCAGTATCCACTGCTTGAAAACTAGATTGAAAACTGACGAGAATCTTTAACGTGAACTAAGCTCCTGCTTATCTTCCTTTTTAACTTTAGATTGCAATTATGTGTTTAGTTTAAATAATTCATATTTTATATAGATTTTTTTCACAGGCCCAATTGTAAAGCAGATAGTAACTTTCTGAATTTTAACCCTGTAAAGACACGCTTTTTTCGGTTCAATTTCGACCAAGGCTATTTATTAATCAGCTAATATTTTTCCAGCAAGTATGGTATTGTCTCTCCAAAGACATTAACAGCGAAATTTGCAGCCGTTCTTCACCTTACTCTTGATTTAACTCTTTTTAAGGCAGCGAATGTTCTTTAAGGCGTATAAGAGCGTACTAGAATTGCAACTATATTACCCTTGCATAAATTTTACTGGGCACAGAAAAGGGATCAACGACAGGCTTTTTCCGTTCACATTTGAAGCCAATCATTTGCTTCTTATCTTCGTCAGGACTATTTTCCTAATCCCGACTTTCAAAACTATCTTCCCTTTTCTTATTGTTTCATTCTTATCGTCACCATCAAATAGTTCCAAAGCCCAAGTTTTACCAAAACATGTGCAGAACTGTGTAACTCAGCAGAAGAAAATTGGAGATCCAAGTTATTCAGGCCAAACTAATCTCATCCTGGCTTTTAGACAATATGTTGTATGGAAAAATTTTCTGTAATTTATGGAAGTTGCTTGGAGAGAATAGATGAAAAGCCTGTTTCCTATAACACTGTTTCCCGCTCCATCGCACTAGTCCGCGAAGCACATTAGGAGTTGGATTAGACTGAGACCGAGCTTTTTTTGCGATCCTGCGAGGACAAGTTGGAATCATGACAGAAAATTTCAGGGGGAGTTGTTAACCAATTAAATTTGTTTCTAATGACACTGATTGGTTCGTTTGATGCCCCTAGTCTGCAGAGTACCTTTATGCCATTCAAAATTGGATTTAGTTGTTTCAGGGGTTAGACTTTCCTTACTGCGTGCTGAGTTTTGCTTATGATAATAAGAGAGGGATGAAAACTTTGAGATATTTTTAATTTTTGACCGCGTGCCTAGACAAGTTGGTACATCTGGCAATCCTGACACAATTTAGCGAAGATGTACCGTAAAATTTTTCAACCAATCCGGTACAATTGCTCAATCAGACAAAGCTAACGCCTTTCTAAAATCTACGTCTTTTGATTGGAAACAACGATTGAGCAACGGTGAAGGCAAAACATTTTTGTGAAAAGAATTGCAGTGAGTTAAAATTGCTTTGTCTCTATAAGATTGAGAGGACGTGTTCTAGCAAATTCCACTCTTTGAAACAAAAGTTTAATCTTCTCGGTTTCCCCTTTGAGCCTTGGTGACCCAGCATTAACATAACAATAGGACGATCCACTGCATCCTTTTGGGCAAGATTTTGGATTAGGCTTGACGTGAAAAATATGTTTTAATGGTCCTATTCCAAGTGAAAAATGCCTCAGCTATCTTTGAATTCCTACGAACAATGACTTTTGTTTCGGTTGCCTGCTTCTTTCTGCAGAAATTACTCATAAAGTTTGCATGTTTTTAAATTAAAGACCTGTTCTTTCTCAAGCGTACTTCGTTTTAGCCAAACCAATTTAGCTTGATCTACTGTCTATTAACTCCGTTTATCAGCCACTACACAGGACTCTTTAGGGTTTCTATCTTTTATGACATCTTGCTCCGTCACAATGTCATGAACAGCACCATCAAAATTTGTCACCACGGTATCATCTTCACACTATGCTTGTCGTTGCTCATTTTCTGACGCTCTGGAATACTTTTAAGTTAACTTACTAGATCTTTAATTGGATTCTCAAACGTAGTTGACCTTGTTTCTGTTTCTTGGTCTGAATCTAGACCTAGCTTGTACTCAAATATTTGAGCTGCTCCATGCATAAAATTTGCAACAGTTGCAAATCACTCCACTATCTGGAGTGATTTCTTAATCTTCTAGAAATAGCTCTCGTAAAATTGCTTAGGCATGTCCTCTTCCAATCATCCTTGGATAGCATTTGAAACTGTGACAAAGACTGTGAGTAAAGAGGTGATTCCGAAAAGATTGAATTTTTTTTGCAAGGTAGCCAGGAATGTGCAAGTTTCTTCATAACTTCACACTTAGGAGGCAGTGGCAAACAGCGGGACATAAATCGGGGTTAGTGTTTGATTTTGTGTAAATTTCTACTGACCTTAAGCTTTCAGAACTACTGCTTCCAGTACCGCTAAACTAAAACTACGATATTTATTCCCAAGACACAAAAGTGGTGCAATGCGCACAAACCATGCTTTGCTTTTCATGCCATTAGTCAGAACCAAGCGAAATTTACCTAACAGAATTTTTCAGAAATATGGCGTTCCCGCCCTTTAGCTCGCTTAGCATTGCTTTTCTTCAGATTGAAGTTTAAAAGCAGAAGAATATGGCAAATTCTCGAATTTGTCTCTCCCTCCGTGACGGCCTCGCTCAGATCAACCCCATCCCAACCTTGATAGTATCGAAGATTCATGAGAGACAAGTTTTGTGATGTTGTTGACGAATTTGTGCCTTTATCTCTGGGCATGATAGCGTATGATGCAAACAAGCTAGATTGACAACGAACCGTGCCATACCTTGGACGTCTCTTTTTGAAGTCTCCACTGCGCACCTTCGTCTTTCCTTGACATTATCCCCTCCTACTATCGCACCAAACAAAGCAAAATTGTACTTCTCCTACGATAAAAAAACTCAAACTCAAATCGAATTTTCCATTCCATGTGTTTTCTATGATAAACCCACTGTGCTTAAAATTGCTAAATCCATTCAATGTGCGATTTTGAATGCAAAGATGCGATTGGAGGCATCAAATATCTTTACCTGAAATGAATGTCGAAAATAAAATGAAACAATGGAAGAGAATGGGGCTAGGATTACATTGATAAACTTCAAGTTAATGAATTAAGAATACTTGAATGGATCAAGATGAGATAAGTTCTGAAGCGCGATGAAATCGAAATGCTGTAGAGTTATGGCTTCCAATTCGACATTATATAATGATATTGTACACTACCGCAATCAAATATGCAGCGACTTGCTTTAAACCAGTTTAGCTATTATATCTTTCTTAAAGTCAGATCCAACATCCCTGTTTCTGGACTATTCAGCGAGCAGCATCATATTTTACAAATGTGGCCTTAGATTTACCACGACTGAAAGCTATTCTTTAGTCAGTAAAATTTCCACTGATGTCTATCACCCCGAAAAGATCTTTCAGATTCATGGAAATGCTTTTGACACAAAAAGGTAATGGCATTGCACGGTGCCTGACTATCCGTACGATCCATAAGAAGCATCGTAAACACGTCGTAGGCAAGAAATGAATGTTTTTGTGTTCGGTGTTGTGTTATGATGTTGTTGGTATTATCTAGTGACAACTTAAGGGTAATATTTACCGGATTTTCCTGTGAAATTTGAATACAATGATCAAGATGTTTCAAAGTTCGATCAACTGATTTTTTGCATCGTTTATCACCGGCTCCTACGGGTGTGATATCGCAAAGACATTCAGCCATTTCAACGCCAGACATTGACAAAGCCTCCATGAAACCATTCGAAGTGACCTGGAAAGAATAGCAAGCATAGTCACTATTGCATTGCTAGTTTGCACGGAAAAGGAACTTAAAAAGAGTTTGGATTAAAATATGTATGTTTGGGCAAAGTACTATTTGAAGATAATTTTCTGTTAGCAACTAAACAAATCTGTAGCGATTTTTGGATCGAGTCAATAGGGACATCAAACGATAGTTTGCAATAAAAAAACATACAAACAAATGGGTTCGATGTCAGCCAGAGACTACCATGCACCTTTGCGAACACTCTTACCGTCACTGCATAAAATAGCTGCTGAAAAACGAGAGACAAGCCAAAGACAAGCGTTAATTATTTCCTTTTCCGCTTGAATCTGTTTGTAGATTCTTATGAGCTGGTCTCAACCACATCAACATTTTGATTTCATTGTAGTCATTCAACAACACCTCGCTATTTGGTGTATAGAACAAGACGGTTCTAAGTTGCTACTCCGAGTTTCAAGCTTAATGCAATCATCAGACAACTGGCCTCATTCAACATCTCAATCTTTCCAGACAAAAACCCTCAAAAGACAATTTTTGTTCCCAAAAAGTAAAATTTCTCGATAAAAGGTATTTGGAAAATTCGTATATTTGATTTTGTGAAACGTTATGGAAAATGCGTGTGCGAGGCATATGGAAACTTAAGGATCTACTGTAGCTTTCTGCAGTGGAGAAATTACGGGAATCTGTTCCTAAAATCGTTGGAAAAATTTGAGGAAATTAATGGCAAATTTCACGCTAATATATTAGGCATCCTAAAACGTCGTGCAAACCTCGTGAGAAAGTCGTCAATCAGTGATAAGTTTTATGGAATGTAGTTCTTTCAAAATAGCTTTCAAACTAATTCACGATGAGTCATTGATGAAATAGTTTCAACTGATTCAAGGTGATTCATCGATGTCCTATACAAATACGAAATCCTAAAAATAATATCCAGAAACAAGGCTTAACCAAGATATTAACAAATAAACCCACTAGACAGGAATTAGAAATGTATTATGAAAAGTTTCAAAAACAGAGCAGGGAAGCTACTTTGGATATGGAAAGGATATGGAATACGGAGACATGACAAGTTGCGAAATTAGCCAAATAAGTCATTCGCATTAAGCATGTGACAGATTGACACCTGTCACAAGGGTTAATAGCAAAGTATGACAACAAAAGACAGTCAAAGTATGACACATGAAATCATATCTACATGAAAAATAACAGGAAACCATTTGGAAAAATTGCTGAAAAATATTTCCAACTAGTTGAAATGGCAAAAACTGGGTTTCTCCACTTTATTTGGTTTTGTGTAGCTAAATTGAACATAAACTAGAGTGTGACACATTGCAGTTGGTAAGTAACTGATCAGAATTATTATAAATAGAACATATTTTTGTAAACAGAACTGGAAATAGAACTATTATTTACGTTATGAAGAAAAATGGATCATTCAAAAAAATGTATCAAGTTGCCACTGTGTAATCGGCCTAAATTACAATTTAATATTTATAAGTCATTTTGAAAACAAATCAAGCTACATAGGTCTATTTAATAGAGAATTACAAAATATTCTTAGTCACATACTACCAGATTGAATATCATCCCTGATTTTCGCTTTGATAAAAATGATTAATATTGGTTTCCTTAAAAATTCATTTCATTCGAATTTTTTAAAAATCAAAAAAATTCAAATATCTATTTAACAGGAATACAGTTATTGAATGCAGTTGAATGCCACGTAAGAAGAACCTATAAAACATCGTTTTGTAACAGCTTTGAAATGGCAAAAATATTTTACAGAAAACTGTGAGCCTTGCTTTGCTCTTATGCAGTCAAAGGTACCAAATACTCTCACTTGACCTCTCCTTGGCTAATTATATTCTATTTTAATTCAATTGACATATCCATTCGCAAGAGACAACTTCATAAAGATTTTACAAACAATATTTCCAGAAGAAACTTAATTGTAAAGGCTCCAAGCGATTAAGAGAACAGTGTTACTGATTTGAGAAACTTTACAGAGTTTTGGAAAGTCATCACACCAGTTTAAAAGCTTCCAAATATCTATTAATAATGAAACTTTTTCATTTTCAGAAGAAACCACTCTCTTTATGTAGCTTTCAATTTCTTAATCGTGTGAATCGAGACAACCCAATCTATGCGTATGCTACCAGAGACTCACCATTCTTTAACATTTTGCATATATATGCACTTGTCCCAATTTATTCAGCGTTGTTTACCAATCTTTTTTCTAGGAAAGCCCCCGAAAGATTAAGTAACTTAGACCCTTGTTAGGTTTATTACAGGGGTGGAAATTGCCCAGGTGTGGGGGACAGGGAAGAGAGCTCTCATATTTGCTAAAGTGTCAATTCAAAGACCGTTTTTAGCACCTTTGTCTGCAAACTTTGTCATTTGTCGGCAAATTTGCTTTTTTGAGGTTTTGCTTCCCTGCTGGAAAATGAACTTCCACCTCTAGTTTATTACAATGAAATACATGTGACAACCTTCAAAACAGCACTGAAAAAAATTGGCCTTGGTACTCTGGTGGATGTGACAAAAGATAAATAAATAGAGCAGTGTTGGAAGCTTGAGGCCTTGGCAGCTTTCTTCCTCTTGTTTTTGTCATTGGAAGGGCAATAATCCTCGTAAGCTGTTACATGATTTGATGCACTTTACAAAATGTTCCTGCAGCTATAATTTACCAGTAATTCCAATAAGTCTAAATCAATAATGTCAATGATTAGACAATATAACTTGATCAACAAATTGTCTGCAAACATCTCTGTTGGAAAAAAGCTTCCATTTTAATATACACTTATTGCCCCCAAGGGGGAACCAGAAGAAAACTTGACTGTCTCACAATCTAGCTGAGGGTTGGGGGTCCTAAAATGCACTCAGCAGGAGCAGGGGGCACAAGCTGAAATTGCTTAAATTTACAGCTAAAATGCAGGGTTTGCACTTGGCTCCATAATGAAAATGTGGGGTGGTGGGCAGCATAATGAACTTACACAAATGATGTCAGAATTTTATATTCTGGTACTTCAATATGTCTCAAAGTCAATTGCCAAATCTCATTGTTGTGCTATCTGTCAAACACCATGAAATTACAAATAATGAAATTTGACACCAAAGTCTTTTCAGAATCTTAAAGATAGAATCTTCAATGTCTGTCAGGCATGCGATTAGACATCATTTTTGGATTCCTCATAGCTGAATTTAGTCATAAAAGTTGAATAGGATATGTTTTGTAGTCTTCCTTTTCAAAATGCAAATTCTTAGAATTTTACCTTAAAATTCTTGAAAATTCATTTATGGATATCTCAGAAAGTACTAAAGATAATGAACTGAAATTTTCAGAATGTTCTATTCCCATTAGTTAGTACACAATATGTGAAAATTAGCAAAATCTGAGATGGTTGGTGACATTTTCATTTTTTTTCTCAGTGATTTGACATTGAACTGTCTATATACAATAAACTCATTGCTTATTACAAATATCAAGTAATTTAATTTGTTTATTAAACAAAAAAAGACTTTTGGTGAAGAAGAAAAGGCACCTAATACCTAATACATTCATAACACAATGGCTGGTCACTGAAGGCAAGAAATGTTAATGGGATAAAAAAGACATAAACCTTCCTCCTCCCACTCTGAGTCCAAACTGAAATGGATTTTTCCTCTGCATATTTAGAAAAATCCACTGAGGAAAAGCCAATTGTGTCTTGAACTGAACAAAATAGCATATCACTTTCCTGTGGAAATAAATACTCTCTTCAAAAGGTAATGGTGTCATGCAATGGGAAATTATCATGAATATAGCTCATACAGAAAAAAATTAAAGGCTCATAAGAGTTGCTCAAAATATTTACAAACAATTGTAATACTATGTGCTTATTATACATTTTCCAAAAGATAGTAGTTTTCTCCAATAAGTTCTTAAATGAAAATTTGGATTTTTTGTCATTTTTCAGGTGAAAATTTGCTAAAGTGCTTTTTAAAGTCAAATTACAAATAATATAATAGCTTTAACAATCCTTAGCTTTTCAATCTGAAGTCTGATCCTTAATTCTCATTGAAGGATTCTGATACACTTAAGTATAAACTTGAAGTTGCTAAATTCATGTTTGATATCTATCATGAAAGCGTCAATGACCTATTCAACAACCTGTTCATCAAAACAAATATACATCATCAGCATGAAACAAGACAGTCTTCAAATGACAACTTCTCTTTCCCTTTGGTCTTGACAAATTATAAACAAAAGTCAATTGTATATGAAGGAGTCAAAATTTGGAATTCCCTGTGATTGCAAATTAAAAAGTTACCGAATAAGTCATCTTTCATCAAAAACCTGAAAAATTATTTTTTAAAGTCGAATTGACATACTCATTTGAACCCGATTATGAACATTATCCAGTCCTTTTCGTGAGCAAAATTCAAGTGTGTGACAAATCGCATATGTAAACAAATTTGCGCGTGCGATTGCACTTGTAAGAAAATTTTAAGTGCAAACCTGACAAAATTGGTAAAAGGAGCAAGAAAGGTAAAAGCCACTCAAATACGTGCAAGAGCAAAACTCAATTCAATCAATACATAACATATTTTGTTGCCCTTAGCAGCCATCTTTCAAAAGTCATTGTCACTCTCCAAAGTTACAAGAGCAAATAAAAGTTGTTTCCAACAGCAACTTGCTTTTAGGGCACAATTACGTTTTGACAGGAAATCAGCTATTACATTTAACATGCTAATTAACATGCTAGACGCTAAGTTGAAAGGAGCATTCAGTCAAAAGCCAAACATCACTTCCGAAAATTGGAAAAAACATATTACGGTCAAAAATGCTAATCAAGTAACAAGGGAAAAGGATAAACAATCGTGAGACCATGGGAAATTGATGTTAACAGAAAACTGCAAAAACATCTGTTTGCGCGTGTGATGAAAAGCACGCGCAATTTAACTTGCGCGTGTGCAGGTGTGTGCGGGTGCGATCGCACGTGCTAAACAAAAAGGACTGATTATCATTAAACATATATTTCCACCATGGATCTTACTATTGTGTTTTTAGTATCACCAATTTACATCTCTTATTATACTAACCCTATATTATCTTGATATTCCGCCTTTTTTATTTTCATTCACATTCTTCTCTTGAAATCGATCACCTTTACACGTCAAATTGGGCATATGACCTAGATAGCTCCTTGTGAGTTCTTTCCATATGTCTGACAGCAAACATACTAAACTTCGAACTACAATCCTTGACAAAAGTCCTTGGAACACCCTGCGACCAATGAAAGATTTTGAAGAAAAAAAGGTATCTGGCTGTAAGACACAGAAATATCCCCCTCCCCCCAAAAACAATGTTGGCTGAAAACCCTATAACTTACCCTAGCTGATAAACTAACATTGGACGAATTTCAAGCTTTGATACTGTTGTTATTCAACACTGTTTCGAGGGGGAGAGGGGAGAGGGGGATGCTACTGAAGTTATGCAAAATTTTAGCTTGGTGTACCAAGACTTTTGGCAAGGATTGTACCTACTGTATGTAGTTTTCCTTTTTGGTAAAAAATAATTGTTATTTGTGGTTCAAGTATTAAATATAATAAATGTAGTAGTTAATTATTGCTGTGAATGAAATGTTTTGAGTTTGAGTTTAAAGAACTAAAGAATCAACTATCATAGTCAATACTAAAGAAAGAAACAGTCATGACATGATAAGCAGCAAGAACCAATTAAAAGGTTTCCTGAAAAACTGTAAAAATGGCTTTTCAACTTTCTTTGATAACAATTTAGGATCATTTTTTATCACTTTTACATAAGTCCATCAAAAATACTAGAGTTCAAAAAGTATTTATTCTGCAAAAAAACCTTAAATCAAAGGTCAAAAGAGGCTTTTACATCGGGCTTTAGGACCTTTAATGATTCCTGAGAAAGTTTAAGTGTGTAAGTGTACGAGGAAGTGTGTAAATAAGAAGAGGAAAGATCACATACTTTGCTGTTTGTAAACTTTTTATACACCTTGTTGGAAGCTTTAAGGCTTTGACTTACAGATTCTTCAAACCTGGATGGAAATAAATTAAAAACTTAAAACTCCTTATCATTTTTCAATCATTATTTTACATTTACACTAATGATGAGGACAATAGACATAAAAAGAGTCAGCCACAAAGACACAAAAAGACTCCCTTAATTGTCCCAAAATGGAAACACCAAGCAATATGTAAATGTGCCACGTATTAAAAGATATATTATTGAAATAAGTTTACGGTGTTGAATTGAATGTAACTGAAGATAAAAAGAAAGCGATTACATTTGGTATGCAATATTAAGACAAAGAATTTAAACATCTTTATGGTGTCATGACAAGTTATCCCCCAATGAGATTGAAACTTGTTAAAAAGAAATACAATCGTGTTCTGTGTATGAAGGGAGGAGAGGTACAAACTGCTAAGAATGTCATGTGCCTCGTGAAAATGCAAATTCATATATGAGCCAAATACCAGGTACAATGACTTATACTAGAGTCACTTACAAGTCACAGAGCCTAAATCTGCGTATCATTTGCTTGCATCTGGTTGGAAGGAATCTCTCCACGTCCTCTGTCATATGAGGTACGCGTCCATACCTCGTGTAAATTAGGGTGGATGGAACTTCCACCGTGGTCTCTTTTGTGCCGGATTCATTTTCATTGCCAGCTTTATGGCGAAGATTAATATATCCAACACGACCTTTTCCTAACTCCTTTACAACTTTTAATTCAGCATTCATGATTTATAAACGATCTTCCAAGGAGATAGTCCAAGGAAAAGGCATGAACACCACCCCATTTTGAAATGGCCTCGCTGGTCACACTGGCGCTTGATCGAGGCAAAGAATCTTTACTTCCAAGAAGTAGGGAGTCGCCAGGAGTTGCCAAGCACAAGAATTTTACGGAAAGAGGGGCTCGGCTTAAGATCTTACGGGAAATTGAGTTTACGAAAACATGGGTTTTGGATTGTGTGGGAGATAGGAACAAAAGGCTCCATCAAAGGCTTAAAATAATTAACAGAAATCAGTAAGAATTACGTTTAGGGGAGAAGAAAGAAGGACTAGCAGCCAAACAAAAGTGATTGATAACCTGCCTTGGCAGTCATTCGAAAAATGGCAAATTTTCAGAATTGTTAAAAATTGGCACTGCTTTAAAATACACATTTGAAAACTATTAAAATGGTTATAGAACAATCCAGGGCATTTTTTAAGGAAATTTGACTAGTAGGCCAACTCCTCAAGAGGGCCCACTTTTTCGCGACCAGAGCCCTTGACCCCTTGACTCAAAAAAATGAAAATGAGTATAAAAAGAATAAAGCTACGAAAATGAGTATAACAAGAATAACAATTCAATAAAACTTTAATAATATGTTTAACATTTAAAAGTTTCTAAAAAGTTTCTAATGTCCAGAAAATGTCCCGTCACAGACAACCAGAGTCACTCGAAAAGAACTTTTTAATGAATTCCCTCTCTCTATAGATCTCTGAATTTGGCTCTCTGTTACGTCTGTCTTTGCTCTTGAGAAATTCGAAAATTGCAGGTCTTGGGTCAAAATATGCAGTCCCTGTGCCATTGAGAGAGACATGCATGTAGCTGTTAATTGATTCTGGCTTTAGTGATGCTCTGCTGGATATTTTGATATTATTATAATGGGAGACAGCTCTCTCTGTTGCCATGCTATGTGGTGTCAAGGTGAGGAAGGAAGCAAGGAATTTTCTGAGCAAACCAATGCTGGCCTCTGTCATTTTTCTCAGCTTCAATGCATAGAGTGTGCCAGAATCTTCTATCTGGCTATAGACTTGAACTTTGCTTAGGTTTGTCCATTACATGCAGACATCAGAGACAAACTCTTCAACCGTGTCCTCTCCAAATATCTGGCTCACAACATCTCTGCTGGCATTTATCATCTGTGGTGGTGAACTTGCATCCAATATCTTTTTTAAATTGTTGATTGTTTCATCTTGCTCAATGTTCATGCGCTGGTCGAGATAGTTTATTGCTGATTGAACAATTTCCACTCTGATTGGACCATCTTCTCTGCGTAGTGATGTGACAAACCTATGAGCCTGGCTGGTTTTTCTGATATTTCTTTCTCCACTGCTTTCTTTACTTGAGTTTAAGTTCTTCAAGTATTTCTCTTCCTGCCCACCAGGCACTGGCATCTCCTTCATGACGTTCAGGTCGACAATAGCTGCATCCCTGGCTGTTAATACATCCAGTAGGATGAGGTCAGATTTTTGAGAAATTTTCTGTAAGTTCTTGAAAATTTTGCACAGATCATGCATAACAGTGGTCAACCACACTTGCTGTGTGCCATTGCCCCATTTCATAAGAAATCCTTTTGCAGATGAGCTTTCTTTTCTGTCCGAATTTATGGTTCCATCTGTCATTTTTGTCCAAAGCCTTCTTGCTGCTTCCAGGTTATTCAAAATTGCTTTCAGCAAATTCAAAGTGTGCTCTGCAAACCTGACCTCGAAATGCTTTGGAAAAGCAAGAGCCTGATCATTTTCTTTGTGCAGCAACTTTGTGCGACGTGGGGATGAGTGGAAGAATGTAGAAAGAGCAAGAACATCAGCCATCCAGAGATGGAGTTCAGGGACCTCAGATTGAACAGATTCAAGGGCCAAATCTGAACGATGACAAACACACCACGCTGTCAAGATATCCCTGCCAATATGTTGTTTGAGCAATGTCCATAATCCTGCGTTTTTGCCTGTGTTTGCTTTTTCTCCATCAGTGGTGACTCCAACAAGCTTCTCTGTCTCCACACCAACACTTTTCAAGCACGAAATAAATGAATCAAGAAGTCCTTCAGCTCCTCCTAAATCACTGCTGGCGATGCCAAGAAAAACGGTCTTCACACTCATTCGTTGGGACTAACCTTGCTGTTATAAATTTAGAATCAACCTGCTGCTTGTCAGCACTTCCATCAATTTGAACAGAAAAGCACAGATAATCTTTTAATACATCAGCAGTTTTTTTCATCTCTTGCTTAGCAACTATGTCTCTCATTGCTGCATAGGTTACTGGATCCCTATAATGGTATACAGAGCTTGGTTGACTAAAAGGAACAAAATCTGTGTGCCATCCTTCTGTCTCAAAATTATGGAGTAAAGCATTGCTATGTTCAGTTGCCAAAGACCTTGATGGCCAACTTCTTGCACTGAGTGTTTCCGTTCTACAATCATTCTAAACATCAACAGCCATTCGTAAAAGAAACTCTAATGTTTGTATTTTGCATTGTTTCATAACTTTGACCCAAGGATGACTGTCTGACGAGAGACTCCACGCTTCTTCAAGTTTCTTCAATCTTAATGCTTCATTGTGAGCAGAGGAAAGCAAATGATCAACAAGTAAACACAGTCTGTCTTTCCCATCAACCCGGACTCCACTGGCAACTGGTATTCGTCCATTAGTGGCATACCTTTTCACTTCAGGTTCATACTTGCTGCAAAGTAAGCAAGTGACAACGGGACGTCGTCGTTTTTTTGTCCTTTCTGTTCTTCCCTACTTAATTCCAGGCAAGATTCAGCTAAAAGCAGCCAATTCAAGTCTAATTTTTTGCCTTTGTACCAACGATCATCTGTGGAATCGATTTTTGACGAGGCACTGTCTGGCTTCGAAGTTTCGGCGTCAGCAAGGCCAAGGCCATGGCCTATGTCTGCATGAGTATCATCACTATCGACATCGTCAATGACATAATTTTCCTGAGTATTAAGAAAATATTCGTTGACGTTTTTATCATCTTTCATTGAATCGATGAAACAGTCAGAAGCTGTACTCACCTCAGCAACGGGTACTGCAGTTGATGAGTTTTGATCGCTTGTTGATTCGCCATCAATAGGACTGGCAGTCTTAGGCCGACTGCTGGTGTTTGATTTGGTAAATCCAAACGAGGAGAGTAGCGATGTTTGGCCACTTGCAGTGGCAGCCTCTTTCAATTCATTCTTCTTTTTTCCCAAACGTTTCTCGTGACCACTCTTTGTTGCTTTTCTTTTCATTTCTAACATGGATTTCTAGCTGACAAACTTTTGATCTTTCTATTTCGATTTTAGAACACAGTCTAAAATGACCATGACAACACCAAACATAAACTAGCAACCATAGCAACATAGAGCCTCGACAGAAAACCCAGAAAGAGGATAGATATGCAAAGGGCCTTTCCTTCTGTGCTCAACAAGTGGCACAATGTGAAAGACTAATTTTTTACTTTTACATTTTGAAAAAAACATTTGTGAAAAGGGCCCAAACTAGTGGGCCGAAAGCCCTAAATTTTGCTTTTTTACTGGGCCGGAGCCGGAAGAAGGGCCCACTGGTGCCAGTGCCCAGTAGTACCGAATGTTAAAAATGCCCCTGGACATCTATTCAAAATTGCTGACAGATTACATTTTTATTAGTTCAAATATCTGACGACTCCATCACTCCTTGAGTAGGCCTTTGTCATAAAATAAATGTTCTATACAGTCCATGATTCATCAAGAGTGATCTTTTAAATTCTATTACCTTAATTCTAATATATGATTTTTCAATAACTAATACATTTTCAATTCACTTTCACAAATTGAAGTATGTTACGTAAATGTTATATGAATCATGACATCCATATCACAAGATATGTGACTGAAATTGAAATGACAATTGTAGAACTAGATGATCCTATCAAACATTAGCATTAAACGACATAACATGCCAGGACTTTCGCTAGGTGATCGAAAGATAAATTCCCGATAAACCTCCCTCCCTTACTCTTGTGTTTGGCATAGATTTATTGCGTACCGTGGTATTTCCTTCAGAAATTTAATGATGTTGCGACGGTGAATAGGTAGGCATAAGAATTGAAAACACTTGCTAAATATGGGCTAACAGAATAAATTTGGATGGAATTCTTATTCTTGATAAAAATTAAATTTGAAAAAACACTATGCAGCGGGTCATTGTAGAGTGTAGTAAATGGGGCTCTTTTTTCATTTCCTTCGATAAACCCGAAATCTATTTTACAATTGCAAGCAATCACATTGGTAATCAGATAGATCACTAACATAGTTGCAAAAAGCCATTGTTCCTACTGCAACATTTTACCGAGATTGCTAGCCGATAAGTAAAAATTGGCGAATAGCAAAAGAAGGCCGATGGCCAACAACGGGGCCTAAATAAACAGGGCAAAGAAGGAATGATACATCGTTCATCTAAATCCTAGTTGCTAGTTTGTACGAGTTGGTAACTAGATTTGAGATTAACTGGCTTTTATGAACCATAAATTCCTTTAGGCACCAAGCAGAACGGCTAGAGAGAAAGCGGGCATACATTGTACTAACTAATGACAGGCAATGGAGAATAAAGTAGAAGTTAACAGTCAATTGTCGGCTTCCAATTACAAATTTGTGACTAATGATAAAAAGGTTCGAAAGCGTTCGTAGATCACTTACAAGCATCAGCGCAAAGAAGCAACGCAATAAGGAATTATACAGCGTTAAGATCCATGTCAGGCTCCATCGTACGGTAGCGTGTAAAATGAAATACAGAGCATCAGAATTTCTTTTTTAACTCATCGTGTAGTGGATGGAAAGTTGATACACAAGAGAAGCAATCAGTGTTACGGAGTTGGTCCTTCTAAGAACAAGCTATTCAGTAAGAAGGATGGAAAACAAGCTTTTGTACCCCTATAATTCACTGCCTTCATTGTACCATGAAAGAGAGTAATTTACATGTTTGTGAGAGTACAATAAATTTCAGAAGTTGATGGAAAGCGCAATATAAGTATTAGTTTAAATAGGACTGTGGTTTGCTACTCCGTTTGTGATTGACAGAAGCACGGACAAGCAAAATTAAATTCAGCATTTGTGCTTAAAATTCATGCTGTTTGACGAAGTATGTCTCAAACTGTAATTCTACGGATATCAATTATAAATCAGTGTTATTTTACGCATTGATTGATGTCGTTGTGGTAAACGAATACTGAAAATTGGAAGGCATTTCGAATATTTTTCTCACTAGCTTAAAAATTCTCAAAAATACCCTGAAAAACTACCCTTCAAATTTTTGCAAAAAAGAAAACTGTGTGCAAAATTAATTGTGGTGTAGATTCTTTGCAAAGTATAGTCTAAATTTATCTTTTCGGGTTGTTTCACTCGATGAAATCCAAAACAGTGCAACAGTTTGTATTGCACCTTTTATTCACTTACTTTTATTCATGATATTCTAAAAAGTTGGCTTTTTCATATTACATATTAAATTCATACTTTTTAATATAGTCTGCTATCAAGGAGAAAAATTGTTGGTCTACCGACATCAGTAAAAATATTTTCATTTGCTTGTGCTATAGGCAACTAGGCGCGATTAGATGTGTATCTAATCCGACAATTTCAAGCTTACATGAATAACTCAATACAAAAAGAATCTAGTAATTTTTCTTGAGTTTATTCATAAATTGGACTACCAAGGGGCATGGTGTTTCTGATGACCTCGAGCGAAATAGGAAGGAAGTATTGATTGTTTCGATTTACTTAAATATAAAACATTTTGTCAGTGCAATGATTAACGATGTATACAGCCACTAATAATTAATTGCACATAAATCCATTGCCAAACTGTACATAAAGATAAAAAAGCAAATCTATATCTTCTCTTGAAAAAATCCTGATCTCGCTAAAGTCAGTTGGACTAGAAATTCTAGCAAAAAATTACTTATAAATACAACATAAGCCAACCCGAACGAGTGAAATAACAAGGCTGGCAGACATCATTTCGATCATAAAAAATGATCATAAGATATTTTTCAGCCGTCTATATCTACTTTTTATCTGTTAATCAGAAATTGTTATTTTCTTGAGTTTTTTATTGAACAGTGTATCTTTTTGCTATTCTAAAAGAAAATACATAAATATGTATATAATAAATAAAGATCTGATTTCTGATACTGTGAAAATACAGAAAGAAAGTTCTAAGAAAGACTACTTGCAAATACAAGCTAATTAGGTACGTGAAATACACTAACAGCCTGATGTATAGGTGCATGCTGTATATTTGAGATCCAGGAATCATTTCTTGTTTAGTTACGCTCGTAATATTTTCCTTATTTTATCAAAGATTACACTCTTCTTGTCTTCATTTATTTTCCTTCAAATGGCAAAGCATCAAAGATAGCAAAGCATATTATGGACTGGAAGGGCTGAAGACAATTCGGTAGATAATTAAACGTAACTTTCTAGGATTGATAATAGGGCTAAAACTCCAGTCCCAACCCCTCCCCCCCCTTCCACAGACACTGTACAGGAAACGTAGAAAGCACGATAGATTTGTTACTTTGCTATCAATTCCTCCCAGACAAATATGGAGTAAGACATCAGAGCTGTACATTATTCAGCATCAAGTGAAAAGCTTAGGTAGGGCAAAGTTGTTCATAAACACTTAATAGCACCTTCATTCGTCTGATGTTCTCAACAATGAGGCACCAGAGAGGGTTCACCGTTTAAGACATTGTTTCTCGTTCGAAAATTTACAGTTTTTTGTTTCTTGTCCTTTGTAGCTTTTTCATCCGGTTGCATACGAAACTTGCCTTGAAATAGTCATAGACAAGGTTATTTGGCGTTTTCTTCTGGCAAATTGACTTGATCGACTTGGCTTTACTGACCTGGCTCGACCTCCACGGTTCCTTAGAATGCACCGTAAACAATCTCATCAGTGATATCTTGCATTTAACGCTAATCTTGGTGGACAGTTTAGTTGCCTACGATTTGTCCTGACAAACCTTTTGCATTTCTTTCCCCACGCCATCGAGATCGTATAATCATCAATAAATAGAGTGTCAGTTCTTCGATCTTCCCTGCCGAAAATGAGATAAACATACCCAACGTTCAACTTTTGACACTCACAGCTGAGTTTTGTTCCCTTCACTTCTAGAGGTTGGTGCTTCTTTCTGATTCTGATGCGTCCTCTCTTGTATCTTTTTGTCACTCGCAAATAATACTTTGTTTTTCCTTTGTCTTTGACAATTCTTTCTATCTTGGCCCTGACAACTGCAACCAAAAACAAAAACCCAATTCAGACTAAAGAGGCTAACAAATTTAAAAGCCCCTATAAGAGGCTGACAAATTTTCTCTTATTGAACATATCGTAAAAACATATGACGCATGGCTGTAGGGGTACAATGACTGCCGTGTTAAGAGGGGCTTTTGAGGTAGGATGTTTCTTAAGACCTTGAACGGTTATTGCAAAGTCTTATATGACTGAGGTCCCGCTGAAGCATGAAAATAATTTTATCTTTAAATTGTTCCACATTTCTTAGAAAAGGTAGTAACTGACGGCAATAGGCTCCAAGAGAATTTGTACATTTCAAAAAATAATTGGTTGATGCCAACTCGTTACTCACCGAAGTCGCTAATGCAGAATTCTGTCTTTAGCGAGTCCATGTCACATGTCTTTTGGCAAGATCGAGTTTCTGTACGAGGCTGTATTTTTGGCTTTTCTAAAATGGAGACAAAATCGGATTGATGTGGTAAGTATTTTGGTCTGACAGGACATTAAGTGAACAAACATGAAAAAAATTCTTTTGGTTGACTCTCGTGCCACATTAGTTCTTTTCACTAATTATTTACAGTTCCTAACATATTGAATAATGAAGGTAATTGTTTACCGCACTTCTTAAAACAGCTCGATTCAATGTCTTAAAAACAGAGTTCTTTGTTGCTCTTTTTTATTTTTGTTTCTTTGTTTCTATGGTCTGGGGGGTGGGGGGCTCTTTCTCGATTAGTTTATCTATTTAGAGAGCTCCTCTTCAATCAATCTTAAATACAATCATGTAATTTTTTTCCGTAGTAGTGTATTCTTCTTAATATTTTTTATGGGTTCTTGTAAATAGTAGTAGTTGTAAAGTAATTATGTAGAATGGTATTTAGGATTGATTGATTGATAAATGAATGAATGAAACTGAAGAGCGCTATAGGCCTCTGTGTGAAATACAGGATGGTTATACGTTGCAGGTCTACGTTGCACGCACAAATTTCACAGCAGGCAACTAAGAGGTAGTTTTTGCAATATTGATGCTAGATATATATTCATCGGCAGATTTCTATACACTTATAATATTGCGCTTTTCGTTGCAGGTAAATGCATACTTATCCGAATGCAAAATTTTATCTTCACCAAGACGTGGTTTTTTTATAAATTTTAGTCAAAAAACTAGCGAATCTTGTTCTTTTCTTTAGCAATACACCAAATTTACATCGGTATATCAAAGCTTAAGGGGTACATTACTTGGATATCTCGTTCTCAAAGTAAATAGCGCATCAACTCTTGTGAAGTGTTTCTTTAGCGAACTAAAGAAGAACTTTTCTCACGATCCTTTAAAAGAAATATAGGCCCGACACATGTCGCGGTATCTTCTAACAAGTAGGAAAATCGGATAGCATTGGAGAGTCTGTGCCGACATAGGTCACGATGAATCGCACCGTGCAAACACGAGTTAAAAACAGTACAAATTTGAATAAAGCGTATTTTGGTCGATGATAAATATATTACCTTTGACACACTTTCTGTTTAGAGGGATGTGTATTGGCGGGAGTCGACGCTTTTTCGAATGCAAGTCGAAGAATCTTATGTCGATGTATAACTTCACCTCTCCAGTCTTTTTACCACTGCATGGGAAGTAGATCTTGAAAGCTAGAAAGAAAACATCTTGGTTTAGACAAGCCATGATGTTAAATGTTTAATACCAAAAATCGATAATTGTAATCGATGAAAGACTGCTGTACGATTTGCATTGCTTGACAAATGCACTATAATAAGTAATTATTGCTAGTATCGCTAAGCATAAATAGTTTCTCTACTTTTACTTTACATCATAGATCTGTTTTACATATTACCGTGCGTAATTTTCCAACATATTTTATTCAAAATCGTTCAAAAAAGAAAAGAATGAACGAAAAATGTCTAAATACCGTTTTCACCAGAATTTTCCGCAGAATTTATATTCACCTTTAGATTTATCTTTACTATAAACTAACAGATGGGTATTCTGAAATTGTCAATAGCTAGCAAAAGATGTCAACAAGGCTGTTGTATTTTTAGAACATTTATGCAACTGTTGGTGGTCTAATGAACTGCAATTTAGCAGATGACGTTCTTTTTTCAGTGTCTGGAAAAACAATCAGTTGCCTTGATATAGAAGCTGAAACAGTGGGCGTTATCGGTCTTGATTCTAGAAACTTTTGATGTTCTCATTCTCTTTGACAACTCTTCAATCTATGTTAAAATTAAAAACACGCGATTGGCAGCGATTCAGTTAATAACTGTCTGGCCTTTACGCTAAAAACAGATTTCAGTGTGGTCACTACATGTCCTACGTGAAATGTTACAATAGCAAATATAAAGATAAAAAATGATGCTCATTAGCAAAATGGGAAGAAAAAGACGTAAAATGATAGAGAAAAATGACTGCTTTGTAAACGTAAGCACAACACGACTTAAGATCTGGATGTTTGTTCGCCTAGACAAGACAATTATTTGACACAAGCAAAATAATATTTGTATTGTCCCATGGCATTCCTAAGGTTTAGAATCTGCCTAACAAACGAGTTGAGATAACAGCAACAACAACAAAGGTAAACAGCTTGTTTATAAACAAGAATACTATTAGCATGCGTCACTCGATGACGCAGAATTCTTTCAGAGCTAAGATATAAGGGGATTAAACTGCGAGCCTTCTCTGAGCAATGCTCATTATTTTTCTATCACAAACTAAACGAAAAAGGACACCGACAGAGATGCTTTCCTCAATAATAGACAAGCTTAAGTAAAAAATTCCCTTGATGTTAGTTGAGTGTATAGCAAAAACTGTCTTTCTTGAAAATAAGCTTTAATAGATTTGATTGGACTAGGCTGCAAAATCACATTTGTAAGTGCTATGTACGTTTCGTCCGCAAATCAAGATACGTGAGAATTCTAAGTAATTGTTGAGAATGGGAACGAAATTTCTAGGCCATAATTCAATTGCTTCGACAGATCATCTGAATGACATAACAAATGGGTGTCAGATTCATAATCGGGTTTTTCTTCTTCTTGATTTGAGTAATCAAATATTGAAATTCTGTCATTGATACCATATTTCTGAAATTACGAATCACAGCAGATATCATTCAACACTGAATAAAAGGATTTTCCTAATCCTATTGGCTCAAATGAAAGTATCGAAAAAGCGCTGAGGCAATAAACCTGATTGATATGCGACTTAATGCCTTTAGCCGCAAAAAAAAGAAATCCTGAAATCTTTCTTTGCTCGTTTTTTTGTTCTTGTAGCTACTAAAATCACGTGTTTAGAAAATTTGCTAAAATAAAGAAGCATGAATGAATCAAGTTTTCTGATTGATACGTTTAAGTTAAGTTTTGCCAGTGGAACTACCAGTTTGGATAAGTTATTAAATCGAAACGTGTCGGTGGTTAAAATAAATGAAAACATGAAAGGTCATTATTTGCTTTTATCATAAGAAAAAACAGCAAAATTAGCTGTCAGGGTATTTATAAAAAGTATAATAGCGGAGAAGAAGTAAAAAACGCCTCTGAGGTGCAGAAGTGAGTTTCCCAGAACTAAATCTTAGTGCCATTATATCTTTTGAAACTTATGAATGAAAGCATTAAATGATTGCGCGTAGTCATATCAAAATATGATGAAATAATTTTATCATAAATTTTTAAATGAAGTTCACCTGCAGCCATCAATCCTTTGATTAGATCAATAAGTTTATGACGCATAAAAGTTATGTGTACATATAAAGCGTTTATATGAATAACGATGTTCGTAAAGAACACGATGAATGTGTCCCCTATTGAGACGCCCAAATATTGATCGATTGTGCAAGATTTAAACCAGTACATTTTCAGTTTTTAAATCGAAAGGCATTGTATTGCTTTGCAATTAGGACCTGTGCGTTGCAGTTAAAAGAAAGACAACCTGCATATAACATCATTGACTTCAAAGATTGCTTTCTTTGGTTGAAATTTCTCTTAAGTTTGTTAATATTTGTGAAAACTGTGGTTTTTGTCTAAATTGTTTCTTGAGCTTTCTAAATTAGAGTAAACTTCATTCATCAGATACTTTAAAGCTTTTTAGTTCCTATCTGAATAAAAAGAAAATTGAAACATCTACAAACAAACAAATATGCTCTGTTTCCACTAACATCTTAAATTGAACAGATTCATAACAAAATTATCACATTGAAGGTGCAATGCAGTTGACTGCGCTCTTAGGAAAGAGAATCGTTTACTATTATTCATCCGGCTTAGAGCTGTAATCCCATCTTAACTTCCAGTATCATTCTAAGTTTAGAAGAAAGAACTGCAAACAAAATTGTCTAAAACAAAGGTTTTTTCTGTGTCCTAAATGTTTAGAACTACCTTTGATGGATCAATCGGTTCTCTTGGGTTGCTATTAAAAGTCTTTATTTTATAATTTTTGAGATTGTTTTTAAATGTAAGGCTGCGATAAAATAAAACTTGCAGAAATATTTCATATTTTTAACAGCATTAGCACAAGTAAGTCACTACGCATTGCACTTATATTGGTCAATTTTAACAGTAAAATACATTGATTTAGTAAATGAATATGCACACGACTGCATATTTCCTATGAATATCGAACTAGTTTACGAAGCGCCAAGAACATGCCTCCCTGTTAATGTTTTTTGCAAAAATGCAGACATGAACTCGAAAACAGCAGCAAAATTTGCATTTTGGCATTATAACTACCTTTTTGCAGAGAGCATGATCGACAGAAAAGGGTGCCAGAATGGTGGGTGTAATCGTTTTGAAGACTTGGCATCATTACGTTGCAATTAAATGTAATCAAGAGAGGCACCACGCTCTCTTTAGCCACCAAAGCTGATGCCGACGTTGGCACAGAAGTCAAACAATTCTAGAGAAGTCGAAATAATACCCCGAAGTCTGTCTTAATTGTTGGTCGGCTCTGTAATTAACTTATGAAATATCTAGCAGACTCCAGTGACGTTTTCTTTGAAAGCGGCCTAATTTTTAAAAGGGCCAATTTTTTTATTATGATACTTAAACCATTCTGCAAGAGCCATAATAAATGAAAACGAGACGCAAAATGCAAGGCAGTGGTAGAATGTCTTAACAGATGAAGGCGAAACCTAACTTCCCTCCTATTAATAGCACTATCCAATCAACTTATTTAATTCTGCGATTGGGTTTGTCTCCATTCGTATATATCAGCACTTGAATGCAAACAGTTTGCTTCTCTCTATCAGAGCAACTTCGACCATGATGAACCAACTCAACTATAAAGCAAAGGCTTCACAACTGTTCCAAAAATCTTTACAGGCCATTAAGACAACTTACAAGTGAATTGAAATACCCTATTCGATTTATTGTTATCATAGATACTTCGTTTAAGAAACCGTGGAATCAGATGTAGTGTCATTTACTTTACCATAGTATTGTAAATAAAGAAAAAGGAACATGTTCAAGTTCAAGTAATATAGAAAATGGACAATGAAAAGCCAGTTTCAGTGGCAGGTGCATGAATAAAAAACAACTTATGGTATAAATGTCTCCAAGAATGGAAAATTGAATCGCTACCTTCGTTTGATAGATTACCAGGGACAAAGTGGGCCTCAACTGTACCACTACAGTAGAGAATAGCAAGGTTTATGAATAACTGAAAATGCTATACCGTATGGCACAATTTGCAGGTGGGGCGTAGACGCAGGATTTGAAGGAGAGTTTGCGGTGGCGGTCTCTTAGTAACAGTCATAGCAAACATTCGCAACGTGCAACAGAAACTAAGTCGCATTACGGCAGCCCATAGGCCTTTTCAATTCAAAGCATCCACTGGTCAGCCAACTGAGCCGCGTTATCATGTATATCTCCACTTAAACACCGCTTTCAATCGGTTTGGAAAAAACAGTTTCCGCCTTGCAGTAGCGCTAAGTGAAAAAGTCTGGTATTTCTCAATTACAATGTTCCTGACAAAGCTCCTTATGCTCTTTCGCTAGCTAAGCATTACTATTAATTTTGTCTCACACAACATTTGTGTTATGAGCTTACATCTACCGACAGAGAATATCGAGGCTAAAATGTGATTTAGGCCACAGTTTAACGGTTTGCCAGTGAGAATGTGCTTTCTCATACATATTTCACCTAAATATCATCGGAAAAATTCTAAAAACCAATTTCGTTTGATGAAGATTTTATTTAATCAAGAAAATACATAGCATTCGCGACTGAAATTTTTATTGATTGAAGGCCAATCAGTCATTTGAACAGATTTGTTGCTCCAGAGAAGGGATGCCTAAATTCACACTAGGCTAAGCGTAGAACCAAAGTGCACTCAGGAAACAAAGAGAAATTTGAATTAGAATGCTATCTTTGTATTCTACCACCAAATCTTTCTCAGCGCATAAGTTTGTTTAGCACAGCAAATCATAAACTCGACGTGGAACAGGACGCTAACAAAAAATTGATTATGGTCTACGAAAATATGGTAGGTGCACAAAAAACTGAATTGGGTGAGTTTTGGCAATTTTCTGAGATGACCAGCTTTAGTAAGTATAAGAGAGATATTTGTAAACCATCGTATTTCTCAAAGTATCTTTCTCCTTTTCAATTCAAAAGTCTGATGACTAAAACAAATTGTTAAAATCTCGACACTCGTAAGGAAAACATTCGAGTTCCAAAAACGCGCTTGTCACCTCCGGTAGAACATATGCTTACTGTTGCTGTTATCGCTAACTCTTCTTACTTTGCTTTAAAAACATGTAGCGGTACTGCCTTTGTGATCATTCAATCTTAATAGTTGTTTAAAGTTGTATAATGTCAATTTTGTGACGTCACGTTTAGTTGAAAACCAATCTCCCTCCCCCCACCCCCTTCCTAATTCTTGCCGCATAAATCCGTCCCTGATATTGGCAGATATAGTTCTAGGTTTGCTAGCTGAACAGAAAAGGAAAATGTAACTTACTCGTCATCGTTCTAGGTACCCTTCCTTTCAAAGGGATGTTTGCTCTAGGAGTCGGCATAATCTTTTCATCACTTGATTTCAAAGACAGTTGGTACTCTACCTACGGAAGAATTAATACCTGTAAATGAGATAACAGCAGCTCGACATCCAGGTTACATGAATTAATAAAACAGTTGAAAATGCATTGTGAGCCAAGCACGCAATTCATCATACAGTTTTTCTTAAAAGATAAATCATTCTGAATCCTTCCTTTTTCAAGCAATATTCAGTCACAATTGACCCACCTAAAACAGTTCAACCTTGTAAGATTCATGTATCGAGATCATAGCAAATATTGAAATGGCTTTAACTGAAATCTCTTGCAATAACCCCACTGAGTCAGTGAAAAAAGTTCCATTATCGCATTTTTTTCATGAATATCGAAGCGATAACATTTTCACGCATATCAGATTATCAAATGGTGAATTGATGTTGCATTGTTTTTAAGACCGTTGTCAAGGTGCCAATTAATTATTTTGCTTGGGCCAACACAAAATCAACATATGCTTGAAGTTTGTTAGATACCAAACAATACCACAGATGGGTAGTCGAAAAAATAACAGATCAGAATTTTCTTTTGATAAGTTGAACAATATTTGAAGCCAAAAGAGTTTTTGGTAACTGATGAGGAGATAGCTATTTGCATTTGCCCTCTCCCCTCCTCAACTAATTTACCAGTAGTGTCCTTCACTAGAAAAAAAATAAATGCTTCACAAGATGTTTTTCTTATTTCGACAGATAAGGAAGATGTTGAAATATTTATAGTTCGCAAAGTAAAACAAAATCGGCTGAAATGAATAGCAATTGTAAAGCAATTTAATTCAAGTGCGAACAAATCAGTTTTTAGCAATCAACCGTGCAAAACAGTTATTTTGGAGAAGATATAATCTAAATCTTTTGTGTTCTGAGCCAATCACTTCTCACAAGGACATTGCCTGGCAAAGAAAGGTCAAGAGATTGAGCAGACATGGAGCCTTACGAGAAGATAATGCTCTTAAGAACACACGCATAGAATTTCCAAACGATTATCCTAACTGACTTACCCGTTTAGGTGAGAGGAACTTCAACTCCAGATCGTTGATGCCTGCCTTGATGGTCGGCCAGACTTTTGAAAACTGTGGACTTTGTAGTAATGGTGATATACGTCCATCCTTGACGATGACAAGATTTGCATTTAGATCTAGTACCAACAAAAGAGATAAGTTAATGAACAGGGTCTGAGCCATGTAGCAATGGATAATAACTGTTTACAGCCTGATAGGTTGTCGATGGGATCCCATCGAACGCCAGATTGAAAATGCATTCGACCACCTGTCACTGAGATGTTAGCTACTTCCCCTCTTTGAATGGTCAGTTTCTTCCAAAGAGAACAGCTAGGATTTTGTTCGCACATGTAAACAATGTAATTAAGCTATGACAAAACTTTTCTTCTCTCTTAACGTATTTACGAAAGAAATTGTTACTTTGGCTGCATCCAGACAGAATTAGGAACTTTAGAGAAAAAGCCAATAAATCCTTAAACCTGCTTCTTATTCAAGTCATTTCATTCTGTTTATCCAATCATTTTTTAAGCAGACTGGCTTTCAAAGGGTCTTAAACATTTTGACAAGGTTAAGAAGTCTGGCCTGCTCAGCGGTAAGAAGTCCTTCGTAATTCATTCTTCTTGTCAGAATCACAATGGGGACTTTCCCAAATATACATTGAACATAACCTTGATAATTTTTTATGAAATGGTTAACTCAATTGGAGTTAATATAACAAATTAATTTTCTGAGAAAATGTTTGTAGAGAGCCTCGAGAAGACATCATGAAGACTTCAAAAAGTCTTGAAGACCTCCGTGACGAGTTATGCTTTTATATGGGCTAGGTGCAGATTTATAATTTGAGGAGTTTATTGATGGCAACCTCTTATCGCATGAAACTGTACCAATAATGAGAGTTTTGATATCCATGAATATTACTTTCTCCATGACAAAAAAACGATCACGTTAAACGCTTATCTTTTCACAGGTCAAATATTTGGAATGGATTAAGATGAAAGCTAAGCAAATTAATGACGGGGTAGAAACTGCTAGAGAATTCTTTGCTAATAGATCAATAATTTACAGACATAGTTGGACATTAATTGGTAGCTTAGACAGTCTTAGTAAAGTTTCATTCCAATTACTCGCTGGGCTTTATCCTTTTGGCCCCTGACAAAACACAACAGCCTTCATAATTACTGACAGTGTCTTCTTTTGTCTGGCTGAAAAGATCTATTGCCATCAATTTCATTGATTTAGTGTTGGAGGTTCTAATGAAATTTTGTACTTTAATACTCATCATCCTTTTTGAAACTTCAATATTGAAGTCTGATCATGACGAATAGTGCATGACATGATTATTCTGCCCTGTGATACGAAAATCAAGAAGAATGTTTGTTAAACAGAGAATGTCCGGTCCAATTGAAAACGATATGAAGAATAAATGTGACACGATAATACATCTTTGAAAACATGCCTCAAAGGTTAGGTTGGCTAAGACCTGGTAATCGGTGATTAAAGCAAGCCAAGCGACGCCATCTTGAAAGCGGATAAAATTTAGGCCCGTCTGATCCATCTTAGATATGGCCGGCATTGTTTAATAAAATTAGGAATTATTTTGTTTGTTTGACGAACATTTGAGCAATGAAATAAGAAGTCATCTGTGTTATTAATCAACAGTTTTGCAATTTCGAGCATATTACCTAAATAAGCACGCAGTAAGTTATGATATTAGCGTCGTTAATACTGGTTGGGAGGATTGCCCATAAAATTCTATTACAAAGTATGGCGAGTGTTCACTCAGTTACTTGTTTTCAAAACATTTTTAAATTCCAATAGAATAAGCTGATCAGGAAAGCTCAAGCAAAGTCTTTTAACACTGATATATTGCTCACGAGAAATCAAACAGTGTATGTCGATCTGTATACAATAGGACGTGTCTCTTGCTTAAAGAGTACCGAGGGAAAATGCAGCCTAGTGCGTTTTTGGTTTCTAGCAAGGCTAGGGTTGGCCATTCACAAACTAACCATATCGAATACTCAACTATTCGAGGGTAAATGCGTTTTAAGATAAATAGCCAAATTCTGCTGTCTAAAGGATTAATGACAGATATCACTGAACTGAAGTTAAATTCTTAAAGAACGCAAGAAATGAAGCATCTTATATAGACCAATATAACGGACAGGGAAGGCTGAATCAGTGATCAATTTTAGGTCACCTTTGTATACTTTAATCATATAAGGATGCTTGGTTTTATTCAACCAATCTTGTTGAGGTTTGAAGAGATAGAGCTAGGGATGTGAAACAATGCAACGCCCTAGTAATAAAGTGAAAATGTTGGTTAGAAAACCGACACGGAAGAGGCGTAGGAATAGTTAATTTATGATTATTTTAAAAGCGATAACGATAAAAAATACAGAAATTTCACAAGCACGTTGACGGAAATTTACACTCAGTGAAGAAAATTGAAAAGGTGATGACGTGATGGGGCAAAGATTTGAGGAAAATGACTTTTCGGGTCCACTAAAGAATTACTGTTGCAAACCAGTATCTTCGTGTAATAAATTGATAAAGATTGCTTTAATTCAACTAGTTGAATAATATGATTAAGTCATAGCTATATTACATGAGATAAGACTGGGAAAGATTTTATTCTGACGAGGAATTCGAGGCAAGTATTGTTACTTGGCTAGCCACGACTTTTGTGGCAAAGTAGGGCAGGAGCTGAACTAGCTGTCTGGCGCCCTGTGACTTAACGAATATCCTTTTAATACAATGAAACATGAAAAGGAACAAGATTAATTTTACCTCAATATGTTAAAAATTATACAAAATTTTCAAGAAGGTTAATGCTCATTTTCAGTAATGTTGCCTGCACTCTTGAGATGAAAATGCTAGATAAATAATCAAGCATATTTAAAGTTTTCCATTTTTAATTTACACTTCTGTTTTGTTAAAATTGCAAGGCACTTATTGCCAAATCTTTATCAACTTCATATTGGAGATATTGACTGCTTTTCCTTGCTGTGCAAACCTTGACACGTCGTTATCAGACGTCACAATCCAAACTAGCACGAGGAATGGGTTGCAAAATTGTCTCAAAACTATCTAAAGGCATGTAATCTTTGATGGTTGACGAGTCCTGTCTCACGTAGGAAATTTGCTTCGTGTTTCTAGAACGTAAAGTATTTCCTCGGCTACGTTTGCAAAGGGTGTGTTTAGAGACATGCCACACTCAGAGGTTTGACTCCCCTCTGCTTTCATGATTTGACAGAAATAAGATAGCTACGGTAAGCACAATGATACCATCTTTAAGTAGCTTAACATTACGTTAATTCTTTCCTCCAAGTAACACCTTCTAAAGTGGAGTTGAAGCCGCCCCCATGATTAACGATGCAATCACGAATCTTAGTCCATGGACGTGTCAGCAATGACTTCTGCGTACACGTGCATTGGAAATGTTAGCGATAGCCAGAAAAGTCTATCCTGATGCATAGATATTTCCACTGTGCTCAATATATTAGAACCACCAATTTAAATAAAATGAAATTTTTAAGCTTATTTCTTTAGCCAGTCTTAGTCAATTAAAATCATTTTTCATTGTACAGTTGCACGGCGTTAGGGATTCTGCCTTTGCAGCTACTAGAAATATTCCTACCGAAGAACCAATCAGATGTCCATACCTCTTTTATGTCAACTTCCATAGCCGGTGGCAGATTAACCACAAAATTTATTGAAAATTATTCAGGATTTCTTGTTTTAAGTAACTAGTAACTTTTCGTCTAAAATTTGTCTGTACGATGAAAGAGCCCAGAATAAGACTTCCTTTTATGGTAGTTACCTTCACGATTTTAATTAACGAATTCCTAACAGTAAAAACAAACAAACTGCTAGAGATTTTCGATACAGTGACTTCGACAACACAGGCATCATGAAACTACACCACAAAGCAATACCCAAGAAATACTTGCACGAAGGAAATGTCCATGGATTAGAGAATAGCGAGGTTTGAACGTTGCTTCAGCTTGATTAACGCGTTCAAGAGCTATAAAACAGAACCTAGCACAAAAAAGGAGAACTAAGAAAACATTCATTCCAAAAAGGAATGTTTCAAGGTAGATAAAAGGCTCTTGTAATGAGAGGTTCAGGGATTCAGGGAGATGGAGTAAACACCACTCAGTAGAGTATGTTTCTGGAAATCCTTAATAGTTTAATGGGCTAGTTAATGAGAAATATACCTTGTTAGTTTGTAATGGCATTGCAATCACATTTCTAAGGTGAATCACTATGTTCGCTTTTTGAATTTTAAAGTACCAAAATAAAACGATCAGTTCTAAGGGAAGGCAGCTAATATTAAAGCGGTATTCTGCCTATGAGTTTGTAAGCAAATCGAGCTGTTTGCATAACACTCAAGATTAAACGTTGGCTAATTCTATATCGATCGTACACTTTCCCTTTTCTATTCATCTCTATTGCTTTTTTGAAAAGCTCCCTCAAACGTTTCTACGCGCTTAGAATAACCTCAAAGGCACGTAAGAAGGTCAAAAAGCCTAACAGATTTCATTCTTAACCTAGAATAATGTTTTGCAACGACAAGCATTGATAGTTGAAATGGCAATCGTTATTTTCGGCTTCCTATAAAACCGTTTTGGGCTTGACGACAATCACGGGTGAAAAGTCAATCTGCTTCTTTCTTCTTCCTTTACTAAGACTAAAGGGTTCAATTTATCAGTAGAAAAGAATCAAACAATATGAATCTTGCTAGTGTATACTGTTTACAACAAAAACATTCAGATTTTTTTAAATTGATTGAACTTTAGAATGTAACCAGAATTCTGTTACCCAATGGTCAGAACATCTACCTGCTTAACGAGAAGTTCAAGCGATGCAACGACCTTTACAATCGTTGAGTAAAGTAAGTGGAAAAATCGGATCTCAACGTCACACTTGGCCCATACCATATCGCATTTTAATGGCTCTTTGTCTCAACATTTCAGTTTTGGACGAGCTAGTTGGCATTTCTGATAGAATATTTAGCCAATAAAAGTAAGCCTTTTCTCACTTCCTAGGAATGAGCTCCTCGCAACACTCCCGCAATTGGTCGTCAGTACCTTAACGTTTTTCAAATCCAAAAAAAATTAAAGATTTTAGCCTTTTTCATCGATAAATCTATCTAAAAAATCTAAACCTTTTTCTTTTAACATTTATTGCTAGAAGTATGGCAACTGGCTTAATCTTGAGCTAAAATGACCAATATTATGTTTGTTCATACAATGCTGTAAAATAATCTAAATGAAAAAATTTCATGTTTGTCCATATATGGTTGTGAAACAGCTGATAGAGAGCATAAAGGTTGACATGTAAACAAATGCACAACCTGTTCTTTTTTACAAGAAGCAGATAATTTTTGACTAAGTTCGTTGTTCTAATTTTTAAGTTTTGTGCTTTTTGATGTTGATTTTATTAAAACATTGCCATGTTTTGTTAACTCGGAGAAAATTTTGAAATCACATTTTGTTTGTAATTTTCCATCAGAGGCTGGACATATTCTTGCTTTGTTTTTTTCAGTTTGGCAGGTTGAGCATCAATGTTCTTAAAAAGAGTGTTCTGTTAAAAAAGAGTGTACGAGAAACAAACTCGTATGAGTGAAGTTGAATCTTCTTGCAAACTCTAGTAACCTCCAATCAAAGAATTGCGAAACTTGCCATGAACAAAACAGCTTGCAAATAAAAATCTTTTATCTGAAAATTCGAGAAATTTGATGCACGAAAGATACTGAAAAGCTGTGTTTTGGAGAATCATTTGAACATGCGAGGCCTAGATATCTGTAGGAAAGCATTCCATATTTCACTGAACAAAACTCATTAAACTACATCGAATTATGTTAAAGACTAAGCTTGAAAGTAGACCATGTTCTCAGACATCTTAAAACTACCGCAACATTGATATTGATCTATATGTGTATCTGTTTAGCTCTTACTTGAGCACAATAATTTCTAGTTGTTGTTTTTGATTTATTCCCATTCGACTGGTTGCTGTGCTTCAGTAATGCCTCCGAGCCAAACAATAAGGCTATTTTCAAAGCAGGGGAAAAACTTTATTTATTTTACTCTGGTAATGCTTCCTTTCTTTCAATTATCAGGTGATCTTGTTACAAGTAGGCCGGTTCACGCAATGTGAAAACAAATTAAGAACTCTGTAAAGTGAATGAGATGGATCACTTTAGTTTTTTTGACACTAAGCTGGAAATTTTCAAATTCGTTCAGGCAACAGCGTATGCAAGATGTTGGAGAAAGAGAGAGGGATGGATAAAAGAGTAACTCTCTCATTTCGCTAAGATGCGAAACTGCGGAAGATTGGAGAGAGTTTTGTCGCAATGATACCCTGGCTTGGGTTTGGCTCGTGTCTGCGAAGGTTCTGTCTCTTCACTATTCAAATGGTTGGCTTCTTACCAAGTCAGTGTTCTTTTGCATGGTGCTAAACGGCTTTGGAATGCCTTGGAATATTTTGTTGTCAACAAACAAATAACTGGTTTACAAACAAATTGCGAGATATTTCTCACTAATCGATGCTAAGGTTGTGCCATTGAGTGAGCGATGGAAACATGCATCCTACATAAACTACTGTCAGCCATTCATTTCTAATAAGTGGACTTTAGGTCATAGAAAAATTGAGAAAGGAATTTTCCTTCCCCCAGGGGAGATCTTTAATTGGGAAATCACACCTATTTAAATGACATTTTTTACAGCAGAATTGGTATTCTTTCGATTTTCTATAGGTGTTGCATTGTCGGAAAACTCTGCTTAGAGCCATGATTTTTTGTTTATAAATATTTTCTTACGCGATTTATTGCTTGTTTTCGGAATCTGTAAAAGGATTTTCCATTATTTGAGCAAAATTTTTCCCATCAACGATAAATGATTGGGGCACTTTATGTTAAATTGAATATTTTTGCTGAAAGAAACTAACATAGATTTCTGTTTATGCTTACTAAAAATTCCAAGAAAATGGAAGTTTCTTCGACTCTCCTTCGGTTTTATTCTAAAGAAGATGGCTACCCGACCAATCGTAGACAGAGCATTCATTACGACAATAAAATAAAAATAGACTGAACTAGTTACATTGGAGTTCCTAAAGAGTTGTGGAAATTCTAATAAATGGATTTTTTAGCTTTTTTTGTTTCGCTAATCAAGAGTCTATGAAATGATGATCCTCGGCAAAATTGAAGCAATCAAGCTGAAATAATCGGGTTTCAGCTCTTAGTTATACATTCTCCGCTATATTTCACCAAAATAAACTTCTACAACAATAAGGGAAATACAAACAGAATTTCTTTTCATTCACGAGAGGTAAATCTGTCTCAATAAACCTACTTCTGGTTGCTTTCGATTCATTTTTTAGTAATGTCATTAAAGAGGGACAGTATTTCACCCCTCAAATTCTCTTTATTTGTGAGATGGGCGTGAATTTACATAAAACAGCTTACTATGGGATGCTCTACAAAGTAAACTTGCAATTCTGGAGTTCGAATCATTTTTTCCGGCTTGCTTTGTATGCCAATCACTGGCGTATGAAACTATTAAGAACCCTCGTGATTAGAAAAAAATTTCTATGCTTTGCTTTTCAAACGTCAAAGTTGACAAGCTTGGGTACTGGGATTTCTTTAAAACGGGATTACAATTGCCGTTATTACGCAAAGCGACCAGACTTAAAATTTGTCAAATAGAATGTTACTGCCACAATGGCAGGGAATAGAAAAATCTATATAAAAAGGCAGCCCCTTGTGATAGGAAGGAAACTTAACCCTCGCGCATATCTTATCCATGAAGTAAAAATATTATCGAAGAGCAAATCTTACCGAAGTCCAAAAATCGCTGCACCTCTTTCCCGGCAACCATTACATCAAGGATCGCTGCCACATCTTCGTGAAAAATTGTTAGAAAAACAAGAAGAATCGATCGGAGTTGAATCATCTTCGAAAAAACGTTTGTAGAAGACATTCGCCTTTGGCCGTGATAGCTTTCCGATTTAGCAGAATGACAACTCGTCTTTGGGTCGCTATCGGTTCGCTATTATAGGGATTCTTTTTTATACTTCCGAGCCTCCCTCATTTATAACTATGAGAAACAAACTGCCTCGTTCCAGCCTTGTTTTAATTGTTGTGTTAATTGTCTCCTCTAAACAATGTAGTCATCTAAACGCGGCTACTTAAAGAAAACGTAGAGCTGTACTATCGAACAGGCTGAACGGAAATCGATTGCCATTCAAGTCAGGTTGTTTCATTTGCTTTTGTAGTTCTCATTGCTTCACATTCTTGAAATGCCTGCATTGCAAGTCCAGTTAAAAAAGGCGTTTCTAGAATTGCCTAGAAATATAGTTTATGTTGAGATTGTCAGTAAATTTTAATATTGAAATACCATATACGTTTATTTAGTCTTCAGACAGTGTGCCTTCCATCTTTTTGCTGTGGCATTTCTTGACACCATTTTTACAATTCATGTTACAATCAATTAACAATCGAAGATCATTGGTTTGGAAAATCCCGTTAGTTGCAAGTGACATTCAAGATTGAAAACTAGGGACAAATGAAGAAATAGGCGTTGCGAGTATCCTAATTTATTTGCATAAGTTAAAGGACCAATTTTTCTATCTTTTGGTACCAAAACTCATCACAGATCAATTGGCATTGACGGTGCTTCCGGAGCCCCATGAGAAAGGAACTCATCAATTTTCATTCTTTCTTCCGAAGCTGTCTCATCTTTCCTTTCTGTTCTGAGCAGGGGCATAGGAACTCCAGGCACCTCGGAGCGTTGAGAAAAGTGGGGGGGGGTCTAAAAAATGTGGAGGGGCTAAAACCGCATAAAGAGAGGCTTTACTGGTAGTTGATTGCTAAATATTTGGCATTTTTTGCAATTGGCTAAAGCCCCCCAGCCCCCTGCTCTGTGGTGCTTGAACTCAAGGGCTCTAGGGGTCATGTTACACCAACTTTTGTATATTTGCCCCTTTTTAGAACTTTAGGAGTCTGCCCCACATTCACATTTTCATAAATTTTTTTTTGCAAATGAAGCTAATTTAGATTATCCAGTTTGTAGAATTTGGCTGTTTTTTATAAGATCTTGAGTGTACCAACAGCCCTGCACCTCAGGTGTAGGTCCACAAAAATGATCCAAAGTGTCAGGTGCACCAGAACTGTAATTTGTTCTAGATTTGATTCAAATAAAGCTAACGGTTTGGCGATAACATATCTGCATCTTTAGTGCATCATTGCTTTGCACTGCATCCTTGTAGATTATAATAAATAATATTGGCAGTTGGGGCAATCATGCAAATACTAGGGGTAATACCCCCTAAATTTGACATGACTACCTCCAAAATTGGGTAATCCTATTCAGGGCTACTGTGAGGTTTCAGAGTCCCTGGGGCAAAACTGAAAGCAAGGCCCCATAGGATTCTTCCCATCCTGCCCTGTTTTTTGGTTTGTAAATCTTCATTATCTTTGTTAGTCTTCAGTAAAATTGCTGGAAGTATAATTGGGAGAAACATTATCAGTGCTGTGATTGCCTGTGAATCACAACAGGGATGTTGTGGCATGGGGATGTTAAGGTTCATAGGAGTACAAATGGGTACATGGGAGCTGTTACACCTAAAGCAAACGCAAAATTGTGTGATTTTCATTGCTTTGCTATTTTTGGCCCTTTTTCCTGGTGCTTTGCCTCTCCTGCCCTACAGCTCTTTTGGCAGCACTGATTTCCAACATCTTGGCATATAAAGCATGATTATGGTGATTGATTTTAGACTTGTCTCATTCCACCAAATAAGGGTGCAAATTAGATGTTAAGACCTTTTTATTTGTTCCAGCAACCTTGCACAAATCTAAATAATGATAGTTGATTAATAACACGATTATTGATGTCTTCTTCTTAAAGGCTGTAGTGTGTTTACACTTTCTTTCTGGCAGTATGTCAAGGCAGGCAAAAAGAATCATACTAAAAGGTAATTGCCAAAGGGGTGTGGATTCAAAAGTAGGAAGTTTCTTGAACCCCTATGTTGTATCAGAAATTTAAAAATGTTAGAACTTTCCCTAGACTTTTATAAAGATAAATTTTTATCAAAGAATATCTAGATATGCTTGAAGTATTGCTTGCTTGCTTATTATATGGCTTAGAAGTAGAGAAAAGTTGTGGCAATTGAATGTTTGACTACATCCTTTTTTATTTCAGAAAGCTATCTTTGTCAAATCTATGAAACACATACCTTGGATTGCATCACACTGTTGTGGACAGAAGTTTTGAATTTTGGAAAGAAAGCAAGATAATAAAAAGGCTGGTCGGTTATTTGAGTAATACCAGATGGACTGGGTCAAAAATTAGGCCTAGGTTGGCTCAGGCAGTAACCTTTGTAAACTTCACCCTAACCTTTGTAACAGCCACGTAGCTGCAGGGTGGGGGGTGGTCATGGGGGGGGACAGGGGGGGCTGTGCCCCCCAAATGAAAATTTTGACAACAGTTTGCCCCCTCTGGCTACAGTTTCTCCAAATGAATTTTTAGAAAATCTGGCATATTTATAATTCCATGACCTTGATTTTGTCCAAATATATGTTTGTTATATATCTGTTTTCTTGTTTTAAAGCATGCTCGAGTTTGCCCCCCCCCCTAGCCACCACCTTAAACTATGTGGTTGCTTTGTAAACCCTAGACCTTTTTCTTGGAAGCAAATGCCTAGACAAAGCTGATGCAGCTTAGCATGTTCTTATGGATAGTGCATTTGTGCCATACCATTAGCAATTCACAAGGCTAGGCTCCCAGGCCATTCCAAAACATCACCTACCAAGAAGTCCCTCCCCCCTCCTCGAAGACAGCTTCAATATGGAAGATAAAAAAGTTATACATACAAGGTTAGCTCATTTTGTCAAGACACTCTGTACTTTGAACAAAGACATCTCTCTCTGGACTTTCAAATCAACTTTGAAGGAAACTTAACTTAATTTAGAAAAGAAGCTTTTAAATTCATTGTGCTGTCTACAATTGTCGCGTTGGAATAGAACTGTTATGACTTTGACAAATCTGGGCCAATAAGCTAACTTGGGGTCAATGCGCATTATTCTATTTTGTACAACCAAAAAAGACGGTAAATCGGCAGAAACATAGCAAAGGAGATATGTTGATTAAGAAAGACAAGGCTGCTTTCAAACCAAATTTCGCGATCCGAAGTCTGTTTTGATGATTTTCAGCTAGCGACGAAAGAAGGCAGATTATTTTGAAATGAAAGCATTTGTTTATTCTTGTCTATAGCTTTTATTACCATACACGTCTGCACCAGGATTCACCTGTAGCGTTAGCACTGTCTCCCAAGCTAAACGGCTGTAACCAGCTCGTTGCATCTGACCTATAGCAAGGGTTCTCCCGATAAAACGTGAAGTGTACACCAAAGAGGGTACTGGAGCCCGTGCAGAATATCTGCACCGAAACGACTTTTACTTGACGGGAGTGCGCTATTTTCATCTGCAGTCCTCAATTACACGAGTAGGTGTAGCTGGGGTGTCGTTTGTTTCGCGATCAATAATCAGACAGTGACATATTGTTATTTCATCACTGCTCCCTGCATTCTTGATTAATTAGAGCCGTTTAATCTCATATGATTGTGCTTAACGTAATGTAAAAAACGACACTTAATGCTAACTAAGTGGAGTTCGTAGCATGTCCTGAAAGCAAACTTTCTAAGGAAACATCACCACAGCATGCGTTCGACCATGACGATCGTTCAGTTGTAAGGTCGCTCTCAGCAGTAGATTCAGGACACTTTTAGAAATCCCCTCTTTCGGTGAGGCTTAGAAGCGTGGAGAGGCTCTCCGATGTCCGGATTTTTACTTTGTAATAGGATATAAGCAACAGGGGGTGATGTTCAATTGAAATTTCCCTCAGGAATCCCTCCTCTCAAATCTCCACTGGAATGAAAGATATGGCATATCAAACAGATTTCCAAATGCTATTTCGCTATATTATTTAACGGCTGGAAACGTTCGTGTTCAGTGATAAAGGATTTACTTTGTATTACTGGATAACACTACACAATCAGCTGCTTACTCGAAAGCCTGGAAACAAGGTCAACAGAACCTCAGTCTCATAGCTGTAATGACACGCTATAAGTAACGACAGACGGTAAGGGAAGCGGCCTGGGTTACTCGAACGATGTAACTGTCTAACGTCACTACGGTGCCTGCCAAAAGTCTTGCTGCAGTTTGCTAAAATGACGCAAAATTACATAAGCACTCCCATCCTTCCCTTGAAAAATGTCGACTACAACAGCTAATAATACACCTAATCTGATACTGCTACAGCCTAAAATACACCCAATGTGATGCTTTCGAATAGTTTTAGAAGCTTGAAACAGTGCAAAAATTACATTGGCTACAGGGTATTCCAAGGACTTAATACAGGGCCTGTAGGGAAAGCTGCGAAGCTGTTAATGTCATAGAGAACTTTGCAGTCTCTTTGGGGCGAAGAGCAATCGTTTTGGTAACATATTAAATGTATCTTTTATTTCCCGACTCGTTAATAGTTTCTGATTTATTTTATCTTAAACCCCATAAAATCTTGGTGTAGTTATCCAATAGTGACGAAGCACTATTGTTGATGATGTCATTGCTCTTTTCCTCATTCGGGGAAAATGCAATTGACCCCCTCCAAAATGGTGACGCTGGGTACTGAATGTGAAATGGTTCAAAACTCCATGCAATAGTGAAAATTAACTGAAGCCTTGAAGGGCATAGGCATACAACGCTTGTGTTTATCAATACCATTAGCTCATCACGATACTAGGCTATCTATGTGTAAATGTTGTTACCAGGAGTGGTAGTATTATGTTCTTTCAAGCGTATGTCTGTAGGGATTTGCCCTCCTCTGCTGCTTTTAAGAGCATGTTCTCCTTTTGATTTAATGACGTTTGCCTGAAAAATTCTGCAAAATTCCTATGGCATTCAAAGAAGAAGATGTGGAGCTAAGTTGTTTGCTACTGGCAAGGTGTAAATTTTAATATCTTGGAATTAGCGTGAATTTGTGCAATAACAGGCAAATGCCATGGAATGAAAACTTCCCAAGTGATAATCTTTGTGATGGCGGCCTCTCTCAGTTATCTTTGCTGTCGT